ACAAACATGAACATATATTTTTATCTAGTCAAAAAAAACTCGGAGAAATAAAATCTAATTTCTACCCTAACGGAAATATGATGAAAAATGATTTTTATAATGAGTTAAGAGATAAAGCTGATTGACTACAGTAGAATAAGTAATATATTGGTCAGACATTCTTTCCTAGATGGATTTCACGTCGCGTGCTATCGATCCCTTGATACGTGTATCACGAGAAAAGTCGATGGTATCAATCGAGATAAACAGCGAGTTTCATTGCAAGTTGTGATGTGATAAGAGCTTTCATGTAACTTAAGGACTTGATAACTATCTATCAGATATTTTGATCATTTATGAACGTACCACGGAGATCTGTTAAATACGTAATTTCCGTGCCATCAGAAATAATTGTGGCTTATATACCCCATTATTTCTTTAACGACCGACTGTTTTTTACACGTCACCATGATAATTGTAAGTGTAATTAAGGTCATAATTTTATCAGTACCTTCTTCAATTTTACGATAAATCAACAACAGAAAACAAATAAGAAAACAGCGTGAGTTACCGAAGTACGTATCAATCTCTCTTTAACGAGAAACTGCTCTTTACACGCCATTAATTCTACTGTAATTAAGTTTCAAATTTTATCAGTAGCTGATCCAAGACGAATTAAGTTGCAAACGAAAACTGTAAACGCAAGATATATTGCTACTAATAAACTTGTCATATCATACAAGTTTATTATTATTGTGTTACTTATCGTAATCTGCCTGCATACCGTAGAAGCGACTAAATTTCTTGCGTAAAATGCAAATAACAAATCATTTCGGCGTAGTAAGCAGAAGAAATTTAAAGCTTCTGCGAAAGATAAAAGTTAATTACGAAATGAACGAATGATTTGAATAAATTCGAGGTATGCACACATATAGAGTTTTGATTTAAAAAAAAAAGAAAAGATATTTGAGCAAATAAATAACATGAAAGTCCTCCAAAAGTTATCTAACAACTACATCCAAACTCGTTGAGCCCATCAAACTTAGAGTATCAATCGATCCGCAGAAACAACATGCTCTCTACCCATCAACTTGGAAAGTTGCAACAGTCTATCCAACTTGACGCTAATCACTGACTCTCTCAATCACGTTTATGTCTTCTGAATAAAAAATTGGCGACTGAATTTCTCGCCAACAAGGGAAGAAAAAGGAAACTCATTTCCTCACTGAAGATGCTGTTATCACTATATCAAATTATTGCGAGTAATTCAATATATAAATAACGAACTAGAATAAACTAAAAGATATTCCAATGTATTGCTACGCAATTTCTATCCTCAGAATAGATTATTTTCTGAAATGGAATAAAGATCCTCGATAGAAAATCAATGCTGTAACCAAATTATTAACTTCCGGTAGATACGAAAAATTGTTATTTAGATTATTGTTCATGCTCTTACAAATAAACGTATCAAGAAATATTATTAAATTATCAACGAATTGTTTCTAGTTTCAGTATCAAATTAACACATCGATTTTTCTATAACTTCGTTCCAACGTAAAATTAGACAATACGAGAAATAGAATTGAGCAAGCGAACAGAATGAACGACAGGAATGTCGACGGTGAACGAGATTCACCGACAGCTACTATTTCTCTTCTTAGATACCAGTGTTTCGATGGCAGAACTCGCAAGTTGTCACATCGCCAAATCAGATTTTGCCAGTGAATAACAACAGGCTTCGATATTCATTAGTAAATTGCGCGCGAGAACGGGTGCGGTCGTGAGACCGAGCTAGGCGAGGCAAAGCAAGGCGTGCTGCCACCGCATTGATGAGAAGTTGTATCGTTCATGCTGAAGCAACATATTTTACGCGGGCTGCAGAGGCAAGATAGGTGAACGCTGACGGCGGATAAGTTAAAGTGCATCGCATGCGAGCCGTTAATTCATTTTACGAACAATTAAGGTTGGAATCGTGATGGGTCAATCCCGAGACCGGCTTATCCCGATCTCATTACGTCGAAAAATAGTACGGATTTGTGGGTTACGTTTCTTTTTTCCTACCCTTTCGCCGGCTCATTCGTGTGCCGTCATTCCGAGGTATTCGGTTCATCATTTATCAGAGTGTAATATTTTCCTTTTCGTTTATGTAAATCGTGTAGCTACGAATTTAAAAATATTCTGGTTTGTTAACGTATCTACTAAATTTCTACTAAACGCGTGAAACGTTTGACACTTATCTGGTTGAAACAGAGAATATCTAACGAATGTTCTTTCGTTTGAATCGTTTTCGCACAAATCCAGTTTACCTTGGCAAAATTAATATTATTGTATTGATATAATCAATATAACATTACTATATTATTATTGTATTGTTAATATACCAAAATACAATAATTCTAGAATCTCTAATGTTTACAGTATCTATTATTTGTAATGAAACATTCCTTTCGAAAAATACTTTTCACATCGAAAACAGTAATATCATAAAGTATATATAAAATTATAATTTAATTTATCAAATCAAAATTTTAGTTCATATAGTTCATTTAGTTCATATAGTTAGGAAGTAACACTTTGTACTTAATATTATTAACGAGAGAATACTTTAGATTCAGATGTAATTACATCTCGTAATAATATATTTTACAAATTCGCGTTTGATTTCTAATTATAGTTGATTTCGAGCTTCAACGTGTTCAACTAATTATCGAGAAAAAACGAGGACAGAAAATTCGCGTTGTCGATAGCCGATATTTAAAATTAAAATTCTGCTCGTTCAACTCTAGTTTCCTGAGATATCGTCGATTGTATTAATTTTCAGAATTTTTGTTCATTTGTATAATTTCCAACTGCTACGTCACCAACACGGATAGAATATAAGTGATTTAAAACTCCTACAAATATTACAAATTAAAAATATCGCAAGTTTGTCCAAGTCAAACAGTCTTCCTTTAAATATTCCCTTTTCCCCATGTTCAACCAAATTTCTTTTATTTCTCTCCTTTTGATAGGATTGCAGCTTTTCAGCTTCCTTTGCGTAAAAAATTCATTCGCACATGAACGCACGAGGAAGAGTTCATTCATCCCAAATGATGCGTTCTGTACGCATCAGTATACAGAAAAAGGATTAACTAGCCAAAATATGAAAGAAAGCACATCGATCGGCGAAACTCGTTAAATATTTCAAAAAATCAAACATAGAAAAAGAAACTGAAGAAATATCACTTTTCGATGATCAAAAAGAATTATTAGATCGTGCAGGAAGAATTCGCTCATTCATATTTCTTTATGAGAGAAAAAATTTTTCAACTTTTAATTATCAACTTGTCAACTTTCAACATATATTATACAACGTGTTCAATAAGAAGAGAAATGCGGCAAGAAACTCGCTGAGAATAATTACTTTGAACATTTACGAAAATTTTACAAAAATTCAATAAATAAGATATTAAAATATCGTACACCACATTGTAAGTAATTATCAAAATTTAAAATTGAATGTATGCAACCTGATGTACAAATTTAAGAGAATAGTATTCAAATGAGAGTAAATTATGAATGATAAACGTGAATAGGTTAAAATGGTAACGTCGAAAGACCAACGAACTTATCATACAACCCATATAATATAATACGAAGGAAAACGTTTTCGTGACGTTAAAACTATCGTTTAATACGGTGAAACAGCGTCGTTTGTCCCGTGAGGATTCTTCGCGCGTGGCCACGTCGAATTAATAGAATTTTTAATTAAAATGCGTAGTAATTGTTCTGGGCAAGGAAAAGTACACGGCAGGGAAACGCGTGAACAATAAAATTGCCCACCAGTGCTGATATATCCAGGCAGTAACAACGTCGAGAGTAGAGGGCAAGTCCACCATGGGAAGAACAGGACGAGTTCATAGATAGAGAGATTATTACCTGAATCTGATTACCGCAGTTGTAGGGGATTTAATCTCGCGACAATTCCGACAGCAACGAGTATATCACTTAAATTTGAATACCACGTTATCGTTGTTGACGTTGCCCATCGTTTGCCATATCGCTGCTTTTATGACCGAGATGTTCAGGTTTTCCAGGAAATCAGAAATTTCCAGGAAATCAGAAATTCTTGTATATTGTCTACTTTTCGTCGGATAATCTTTCAGACTGGATTTTTGTATGGTTGATTATTTATGGAACATTTATTTATGAAACTTTTTCAGCTCGGTTTTGGAATTATAAATAATATTAAAATGTTGTACGTAAGTACAGTTTACGAAACATTTTAAAATTTCATTAACATTGAAAAGAGATATCATTAAAGTCATATAGATATGTGATATCTCTTTTTATCATCACATTATGGTCATATAAATATGTGATATATGATTACAGTAATTATAGATCAGATGTGATTATAGTCATATAGATATCATACAATGATATGACTATGATTATAGTCATAGAATTGTAAGAATGTATACAGAAGCTAAGATGTTTAATGTAAATATATATTTCACAGAAATTATAAAAATGTGTAAACGGTTTGGCGCCAATTAAAATGGCGGTTGGTACTGGTCATACTATATATTAATATAATATATAGTATGATTCACACAATATACTATTTTTTTTACTAAATATACATGTCCATTTGTATTAAATATTTCCTAAATTCAAATATTAAAAATAGATTTAATCGTTTTAATATTAAAAATAGTCGTACCTCACTGCAGCGTTGACGAAATTTCAAAACGTTTTATTTATTCTTTCAAATATGCCCTTGAGTCACTGTATTGCAATAATTTTCAAATATCAACCAAATTCATTTCAATCAAATAGTACCTCAACCAAACAATCAGATTTCAACCGAATTGTTCAAGATAAAATACAAACACACTTTAAACAGATTCATCAAAACATTCAAACAAATCTCACGAAAGACATTCACTAGCTGATTCAAAAAGGCGTTCACACACATTCAACGATTTGTCACTCATCATCAAAATACGGAATGAAATACTTAAGAGAACGCGTACCTCTCTCATTAAAAGAAACACTACCGATAATGATACAAAATGACACGATTTTGAAGAGATTAAATTCACTATTGCAGTCGTGCGCGCAAATTTTCGTAAGAGAATGAAATAAAGAACGCGCGCTTTACGAAAGAACAAGAGAGGAATAAGTTTACTAAAAAGAACGCGAGCGGCGCTGCTGTCGCTGCACTATGACGTATTGTTTCCTTTGGTGTTAGTGCTGGGCGCGAAATTATAAATCCAATTCTTTAATTAAATAATTTATATATTATATCATTATTAAATTGTTTCGTATAATGTAATAATTATTTATTTTCCTTCTTCAAGTTGCCATTTCCGCTGAAGAAGCGTAAATAGAAAAATATTAAAATTTAATATTTTTGTTAAAATGAGTCATCGATTCTCAACAGTTGGTAGCCATGCCTTGTAACATTCAGTTGTTACTCGAGTGTGAAAGAATGAGGGAGTGCAATTCAAAAACTGGTAATTATTTTGATTTTTATTTTAAACAATTTAACTTCAATTTACTTGATACACATAACCTTTGATATAAATATATAGAGATTGTAAATATGTAAGAGAGATTATAAAATGTATAGAAAATATGAATATACAGAGATTAATAATTTAGTTTGTCGAATGTCCCGTAGGCTACGTAACAGTTTTCAAACAATAATAATATTAAATGAAAGCATAATAGATAAACATATATGTATATAACGTATATGTGCTGCACAAGTCATTTGATAATGTCAATGTTTCGAATATTAACATATTGTTGACGGTATGCTGTCGCACGTATATTCTCTCAGTTGGCGCGCAAAATAAACATGCAATAAGATGGCGCTTCACGTCTTCTGTTAACAATGTGCCAAGTTTACAATATATAACGTACAAAATGTTTTGTCTCCCTATTAAACACTTCTGTACTTGAACACTTAGTTATTTATCTGTCGTATTTGCTTAGAACAAACAATTTGCTAAACAAATTGCAATAAATAGAATAGAAACATTTAACAATATGCACACAGTAAATCATTAAATTATTTGGATAATTGAACAAAAATTATAAGATGAAATTATAGCTAAATTAAAAAATACTAAATTGTTAATGTTTTTTTAGAATGAAGGGAAATATTGATATGATACTTTTAAAATAATATATAGAAGAATAGATGGTTATATGAAAAAAAGCTTTTGTTTTTTTATTTGAAATATAAATGGCACAGTTATTTTTGATAGAAAAAATTCAAAATAATACGAAACGAGAAAATTTAAGAAAATAATGTTGTATTTATCAAAGAAATAATAATTATTCAAAGTTTACATAATAAATATAAATGATGGGATAATTTGTAGACTTTATAGACTATCTAATAATAATTATTATTAATAGGCTACTTCATTTATGAATACGTATATTGATTTTTGGAAAGCCACTGAAACTACAATATAATATAATACCTCTGGGACAGAGTTATTACATTTGAAACAATTATACTCATTTAAAAATATTATCCTCTAGATTGTTAGTTAATTTTACTTAGCTTAAAAAATAATGTTATCAAAGAAACTTAATCTATCTTGTAACTATTAATTCACATTGCTAAAATATAAATTCCGTTATTTTACATATTTTATATAAATATGAATTATCGTAATTGGTTCTTGAATCTGTCAAGCCAGATTGTAACGCGTTTCAATATTTCATACTAACATATGTGAGTTTGTCTGCGCTAACTTATTCTCGTGTTCATTTTCTCGATCACGGATCGTGAAAGACATTAAGAGCACAACGTGTTCGCGTCTAAATATTACAATCGTAAGCGCGAAGTTGCCGCAGCTAGAAAGCGGAATATGAATAGTAATTAATCGGCGTTGGTCGAGAACAACGTGAAAATTTAATGCATTCGATTATCGCAAGAACCACCGAGATTTATCTTAGCCAAGAAATAATTCATACGAGTCTCTGGCAAGGAAATTTCATTCATCATAAACTACCGACTCTTCCAAGTTTCGTGCCACTTCCTATCGTATTTTCTAGAAAACAATCAACTAATTTTTACATTTTTATTGCTTTTAAGTTACTGTAATATTTCTTTTCGTTGATTATGAAGAGAAAAATTCCCGAAATAAATTATTTAAAAGTCACACTGATCGACTTAGAAGTGACAATGTGTTACGAAGAGTGTTTTTTTTTTTTTTAAATTTACCTTGAAATTTATGATTATTTCCGTCATGTTTTTGTCGTCGATAAACCTACGGAAGTAGGTCAACATGAGTTTTGACAAGTTGAACATTAATCATTCACTCGGGTAGTGAAATTGGGAAATTTACAAAAAGCGGTCTCGATCAGTTTGACTTCTGAAGAGTTCATGCATGAATAACATTTTTCACAGTAACTGTCAGGAACATTCCAGCGAAGAAAGATCAAAAGGTGTGCATAATCAGCCATTTAAATCAATCCCTGTGAGCATTATTAAAATTATTGAAACGGATAAACTTTCTAAATAACAAATCGCCAAATAATCATTCTTTCAAATGCGAAAGGAACGTTGGCTTTATGATCTCTTAAAGCCAATTCTCTAGTTAGTGAAAGAACAAATTCCTAGCAATTAGTTAGGTTACTAATTAGTTATGTTGACTCAACTTGACTTTTCCTGCTTTCAGACATCGTGATTCCCTAACCAGAAATTTAATAAAATTAAACTTTGAAAATTCCAGGCTTCCAAAGTTTCCAAAGCTGACGGGTGGATCCTTGTTGTCATTCGTTCGAAATTCGGTGAAATGAAACAACCGGGCGAGACACTTAGCAAGGATAACGGCGCCGCAGGATACAAGGTAGGGAACGGCGTAAAGTTTCCGCTTAAAACACAATTTAGCAACAGCGTGTCTTCTATATTCATCGCAGACGGTGGGAACAGATGGGACGGGGGAAACAGGGATGGTTTCGGAGGAAAATCGTTCTTATGCTCCGCTTTTTCTTAAGGATTCACTTTCGCGGAAATAGTTCTCTTGTGCCTCTATGCCAGCTCGTTAATATTTATATTCTACATCGTATCGATCCGTATTTAACCTTAGAGCACAGTGCTCTTTCGCAATCTCCGCCGTATCGAAACTGATTAAATAATTCTCGTTTCGTCCTTCCATATTCCGCCTGTTGGAATTCGTATTTTCCATTTGAAAATTAATGAATCGCAAATGAATAGCAATTCTCGCGTGATTAATAATGTATGATAGTGATTTGCAATTTGGTTGAATTTATGAAAGGTTATTGATGAAGCTTAATATAATGCTTGAATTTCGCGTTTTTCTTTCGCGGTAAGGAAGTGTTAACGTACAGATTTATGTTATACACTGAAACGCAATTTGTATGTGTCTCTTTATAGAAATAATCTTAATATATGTAACAATGTATATATGTGAAACGAAGTAGGAATATAAAAAAATTTACAATTCATGGTTTTCTGTTGTTTATGTTTATCGTGGCAGTTTCTCAGATCCTTTTGTTATAGAATGGTATACGAATACTACTTGCAGATACTGTGTATTGACTTGAAAATAATTTAACCTGAAGAATCGAATCTGCGCACGTGTGCATTTTCTTACATTACAATCGAAACGTACGTATAGCTAAACCTGAAGCTGGAGCTGTTAGCGTGCAGCAGGGTTTTTGCAGCATTTTGTTACACTTCACCAATTATTGAGAACCATCGACCGTGGGAAGTGACGCTTTTATGAAACAATGGCCTCACAAAAAAAAGGCTTGATCGATATCTGATACGTATGCGTGCAATATTCAACGCTTAGCGTAGAAAAAACCGCGACTCGTGTCGCACCGGAAGTAGCCATTTCGATGCAGGCACATGAAATTTTGATTAAGAATCGGTAAGGGTACACACTCTGATGAAAAAGCTTATGTTTCAATCGCAACGTATGCCTCGTGTACAATATTTTCCTTTTTTCTTTCCTTTTCAAAAACGTAATCCTTCGAGCACCGTATCATCGATAGAATAAAAGTCCACCTTCTCCTTTTTTCTCGTTTCGAAATGAAACGAAAGAGACTCTATTTTAACTTGATGGCAGTCCTCAAACGTAGTATCTCGTTTCGTGTTTTGTTTAAATCATATCTCTCTGCGTACGCACACACGCAGAATTTATATTGATATTTCCGTTAGTTTTGTTTAAATTTTATCAACGTAGATAAAGAATAAAGAAATATTACTGAATGGGAATAAACATGGCGAATAAAGATAGGATTCATCGCGATAAATTAATTGCATTGAATTTGAACGATAAAATTACTTTTTATATCGCAGACTTTACGCGAAACAATAGATTGGCAGAATAAAAACACATTTTATTTCTCGCGTAACAAATGTTCTCTGTTTACTGAAATCAAAGTTTTCCACGGAACAATGTTATTTCACATGTTTGGCTTACTTTATACAGAACTCTTGTAGCTCTTGTAGCTTTCCACGAGCTACGAGATTTGCCGTGTTATTTACAGAGAATTAATATTTACTGTATCGCGATCGTTTACGACATCAATATTCAATTGTGACAATCAAAACGCACGATAAAGAAGCCTTCTAATCGCAACAACTTATCAATGAATGACTTCTACTCGCGTAGGAATTGTTAACAAAACTCAATAACCAGTGACTATGTTAATCCAATGCATTCCGAATCGTCCACCAAAGCAGCAAGAACAACGTCACAACAATGTTCCGAGAAATTAGAAATTCTTCCAAGAAATGAAATCGCAAATGTCGTTCAAAACCAACTCGACGCTTCGCAAATCGTAACATAAATCATGCAAATTGCACGAGAATAGACAACAGGGATTGTCTAAAACAGAGAGACGATATTAACGATAAGCGCTCTTCGATCCAGCGAACTCGATTCTATTTGGAAAGTAAACGAGCAACCTAATACGTGCATACGAACGCGCACGGGAATTTGATCTGGTCTCTAATGATCAGTCACTGCGAGCCCCCACCACGTGCATAACCTCCTCGATAATTTACATTTCTCGCTTCGCGGCCAGAACTTCAGGAAATTTCTATCGTGGGCACGTTCCCGCGCCACTCCACCACTGTTTGAGTTACAATTACAGACCGCAGAAACGCGCACGGTTGCATCGGGGTCGGGGCGGAGGGGGAGACGATCGGCGCCCACGCTTCCGAGCGTGGAAAATCCGAGCATCGGTAGGAAAATCGATTTGACGAGTCGCCGGAGGTGGAGGGGCGCTGGATACCGGTAATTTGTGACACGCGATCTCTCACCGAATGAAAACTTGATGCCGTCACGTGGATCGGCCTGGCGCCGCGCAGACGTTCCGCTCATTTTATCGTGGTGCCTTGGTCTTTTCGTTACGCGTCTCGAACCGGGGATTTCGAAGCGTATCTGTTTCATTTTTAAACGATATCGATCGGCCGATACCACGAAACCGTGTGGATTTCTTTCGCGGTGATTTGTAATAATGAGACGTGGGTGGAATGCGAACAGAGGAGAGTGTTAGGGATTGATATCCCTGCAGTTACATTGAAATACGGCATGAAGGTATTGGAAAGGAATTAAAGGAGATGGAAAATTTGAGTATGGTATTATAGATTTTTATAGCTGGAGAATTTGGACTGTTTGCAGAAAATTTTTTTCATGCTATGCAAGTTCTTTCATTTCGAGATAAATTTGATGAATATATTTTATTTTTGAAGAGTTCCAAAGCAAGATTTAGACTGTCGTATTAGATCGTTTTATCGATGTACGTGTTGTTTTGTTAAACGATATTAATGTTTCAAAGGGACTGTTGAAACGAAACATTTCTAAAAATCATATCGTCACTTTTGAAGGTTCTCGCAAATTTTCGTACAAACTGAAATATAGAAAAAAATATCTGGCCAATATTTCGAAAAAGAATAGATAAACGTTTTGATAAATTAAACAAATGAAGCAATTTTTCATGTATATCTACACGTTGTATCCGTTAATTAATCTTCTATGGAGTTTTAGGCTTTCTGAAAAAAAGTGTCGATTGTTTTGCCTTTTCTCACTTTTTCGTCACGGACTCCCAATACATTGAAACAGTTCCAATCAACGAAATTTCATTTGAGAGCTTAAGCTTTTACGAAAAAAATCCAATTCCCTTTCACTTCAAAAACTTTTTGTTTCTCTCCCGGAAATTTCCTGTCACCTCTTGTCGTGTAAAATCCGTTAAAAAATAGTAAAAGGATCTCTTTTACCAAACGATTCTTTAATTCGTATAAAACGTTTTATGTGTTAAAAAAAATTCACGTTTCACTGTTTGACTCTACTAATTTGTATAAAAATCCACAGAAGAATTATTTTTTTTTGGAGAAGCAGGGGAGAGAGAGAACAATGGTTTAATCTCTGCCATTTTTCGGTAGTAATGTTTATTCGTTCTCATAAAAATACGCAAATAAAGTTTTGGGCAATGTAACTATCGCAAACAGTACTTTCACGAATTTTTAATGTGAATTTTTAATATGATTCTCGCCGGAAAGCATTTTTCGCAGGAATGATAATTGAATGGAGTAATTACAAAAGGGCAAAGTTTATCAAAGGTGGAACGTTATTAAACCGGACTTTCAATTTTAATTCCAATGATGATTCTGAGAGCATTATCTTGAATGAGAGGAATATTCGTTTGATTCGCCGATTCGGTGTGAAATTATTCCCACTCAATTATTTCATTAATCCCAACAATTTCAAGTCGTTTTATCTGTCGAAAAATTTCCCGATTTTTTTCTCACACCGGCAATTGGATTAAATCATTAACGTCTCCATACTACCGACAAATTTCTTTTGACAAAATGGCAACTGGAAAATCTAAAACAGGAGTGAGATTACATACACGCGCCCAGTTATTTTCGTCGTGTTGTAGTTCCAATTAGTTAAAACCGTTCTAATTAACCGCGTAAAATGAATTATCGGTGGATTTCAGTAGTGGATCGGACAAGCACGCGACTCTCTTCAATCATTGCCAATTCCCAATTTCCTAAATCTTGCTTCACCAACTAAGTCGTCGCCGTTGCAAGTGTCCTTTTCAAAATACACACATCGGTCAATCTGTAGATAGTTTCGCGAGCGTGTGCACACGAATGAGCGAGCACGCATTGCGGCCGACAGTCGTGTGTGACACCGCACAAAGGGCCCTATTAGGCAGCTACGAGCAGTTCCAGCCCTTTGAACGCACGCGAATCAGCAAGTCGTATGTATGTATGTATGTACGTATGTATGTGTCGAGTCCTGGAAACCGGACTTCTCGAGCACATCAAGGCGTCCGCGACGCCTGTTTCACGACGCTCGTCTTGCCCTCCACGAGAAACGGGTAGGATGGCTCGTGACACGGGGAAATGGCTTTTCGATCGCGACCAACCGACCTAGGAAACACTGCCATCAGCCTCGAAACTACCAGCAACTCACTCTGTTAATGGCTGGCGAATTTAATTAACGCGCGAAATTGTCTTGGTTCCGTATTTCATCTCTTCTACCTCCTCTCTCTCTCTTTATCTCTCTCTCTCTCTCTCTCTCTCCCTCTCCCTTTTTTTTAAATCCTTTTCGGCCTCACTGTCCGACTCTAGTGATAAATTGCATTGGAGAAATGATTCCGTTTACTGTTGTTGTCACTAGACTTTTATGTGACGGCGATCAAGCTGAAATGGACGATCATTGAGTTTGATAAAGTGGTTAAATACAGTGTGATACGGTTCATAGGTTATTGGAGGATTTTTAATCGGTGATTTCTAGGGATTCATCGCACGAGAATTTATTCGTTTTAAATAGCAGCTTCGAAGCTCTGAAGGTTTACATCTGTTACATTTCTATCTAAAGTACAGTACGTTTCCTATAATATTTGGTACATAAAATAGATTTTCATCTTTGTAATTTTATTCACCTGCAAGTATATACCTGTAGTCTGCTGCCAGCTCGTTTCGGTGACTCGCACGATGACAATTACAGAACCACAGTGACGAAACGATCGACCGTCAAGCAAATTTGACAAAATCTGACTTATCGTCGTCGTTCTCCCCCTAAACTGTCTGTACCATTCTCCGCGTTCTCCGCGGGAGGGTGTAATTATCGAATCTGGAGCAGTCTGGCTAATTACCGGAGTTAATCAGCGTGGAGGATGTGGACGGAGGCGAAAGTTTCGATGACATTCTCATTTCCAGGAGAACGACCGCCGGACTTGGACGATCTATCCGTCCGTCTCGAATTAGAGACGCGAACGACCGGCCGCGAAATTCCCGTGGTGGCCTCGCGTGGAGCGCGTTTGCGCCCTGTAATTTATGACGGTCTATTCGAGAAGGGGACGGGAGGGGGGAGGAAATTAGACGGCCGGGCCACGATCAAGACACCGGGCAAGAGGGCGAGAGGACGACGATGTTCTCGCCAGGATCGTGGAAATCTCGCCTGGAGAAAAAGCCTGGACGGTCTGTGACAGTGGAAAATGGGATTTCGATCGTTCGTACGGGGACAGCGCGGGGACAACGGTGCTGAGGAACAAGCAGCGCAGCGGCCAGCTGCGCTGGATCGTAAAGTAGAAAGGGCCACGGACCAATCGGGATGAAAGAAGAACAAAGACCTTCTGTATTATTAAGCCAGGATATTAAACGTCCGCAACGGTGAAGCCGATTGTTAACGAAACCTTCATTACCATCCTTTTTTTCTTCCCTTCCCTTTGAAAGAACACGGATCGTACGCGATTCTCTTTTCCCACGAATTTTGGAAAAATTCGTCGTCCTCCTAATTACTTGTACTTGTTACTTGTTACCTGTGGAGGTTTTCCAAGCGATGTTCTTCTTCGTGAAATCGAGTCGAAACTGAGCAGAAACTTCTCTAAATTTTATCCACGTTTAAACGTTGTTTCATGCTGTTTGTTTGAAAAGTCTTCGGTTACTCCCAATTCGCAAAGAGTGATAAATCTTTTAATCGAATAATTTTAAATTTTCAAATTTCAATTGAAAATCCTTAGCGCGAATTTAATTAACTGTAGTGAATAAAATTATTCGAGTGAAACGGACATTTAGTACGCGTTTAAAGATGAAACAAAAAAATCTCTGAAATTAATTTCGCACAAAGTGGAAAATATTCCATAATATAAATGTAACGGTGGTAAACAATTATAATCGTCACTTGTTGGTTTTGTCTGCAATTTCAATTTATGGAACCAATTGAAACGCACAAAGAAAGCGGAGCAATATGAGATACGGAGTATGTTTGTACAAAGCAAGCGTTCATAATTACGTAAATACAATGACCACCACGACTAAGAAATTTAAAAAAGAGAGAATTCATTGATGTCCTGGATGGTTTAATTGATTAAAGGATTCGCTCGGTGTATGGAAGACCCGGATTTTCGATCTGTATTCACTAGCCTGATAACCCGATTCTTTCTCTTCTTGCTTCATGCTCAATGGCATGAGAATTCAATGCGAGAGCCTAATGAGTTCATTTTGAAAACTTGGAAAAATTCTGTTTGAACGTTCGAGTGAGTAATTCTGATTCACAGTACGAATCAATTTTTTTTATTTTTCTTTTCAGAGTCAATATCGTTCATCGAATAAAGAAAAACTACGGATTGTTTCTTTGAGTTAATTGAACGTATAAAATATATTTTGAACGCCAACGAACTTTGTTGGTTGGAATTATCTAGTTTACGAACATAGTTTGGCAACTGGTTTCCTTTGTGTATTATATTTTCGATGTAATATTTCAATCACGGTAATCCGCGACTACCTAGATTTACGAAGTGTGATCATAGAAGGATTTGGGATTAGTTATTTACAACCTGGTGCTACCTCCGCTACGTAGAAAAATACTTGTTAGATTCAAATCATAAAATCAAATACGAAAACAAATAATTATAAATAGAGAACATCACTTTCATTATCTTTATGGTATTTACTTCCATTATTATATTGGCTTTCATTCTATAATCGATTACCTGTAATAAATTTTCTCAATTGTTCAAATATTAATAAGGTTGTTTCAAGTTTCTAAATATCAAGACTCTTCTGATCTTAAAAGTAACTAAAGCAACTAAAAATAACTTTAAAGAAAACATACTTAAATAACTTCAAAGTTATTTCGTTCCTTTTTACAAAGAAACCGTCAAATGAAGAGTTGCACAGACATCTTCAATTAACTTCAATTGAATGCCAAACCTTGCACGACACGTAACTCGTATGTCAAATCTTAATAATAATATCAATTTTATAACATATATTTCGTATGTGACATTTCTAGTTTCGTTGTGTCTCAGTGTCGAACTTCTCAAAAATCAGCCAATGAAAATCATTCAATGTTATGCAATGATTGTATTATACATCAATCAGACATTTCTTCGACCCCCACAGAGAAAGATCTTTCTCTTTCAAGTCCTCGTTTCTAAATTCCAATTCCCAGCTACAACGACGATTGCCGCCTTCGACTCCAAACGATTGAGATTACGATTTCTTCTTTCCTCGCGACCGGAACCCCGCACGCCCCGAGGAAATAACTCCGGTGAACGCGCGATTACGCTCGCGTATGGCTAAAATCGTGTCCCGTCGCGGCTGCAACAGTCCCTATAAAAAGTAACAGCTACTCGAATGCCTGGCCCGCGTGTTCTCCGCTTATTACTTTCCGACCGTGGAAACGGCTGGAATCTCGACACATAAACTTGCTGGTCGCTCGCTAACGATCGCGGTTCTCGAGAACGATTTTCAGAAAGGACTGCGCGTCTCTGTTGCCGCGTGATTCTCAAGCCAAGCAGGAGGACGGAGGGGAGAGAACGGAAACGGAAGAAAGGAGAACCGGTACAGCACAACATCAGGGGGCCGCGCGATACTTTACAAATTACGAGCGTGTCGGCGAGCGATTCGCTGGATGGGAAATTCGTTCCATGCCAAGAGGATTGTTCGATGCACGTTTCGAATATCGTATATCCGCGAAATCGTTCCAGCTTTCTGATCTCGCCGATGAAAAAAAATTTCGCTTTTAACGATTCTTGCGTGACTGATTATTTTCATACGATACACGGCGTCATTTTTTAAACAGAGGTGGACAGATGCGTTATTTGGCCTTGTTGCAAGTTGCTGGTTGCCTGCAACTGAACAATTGATTTTTGATTCCGGCGATGTGACCTTTTCTTTTTTTTTTTTTTTTTTTTTTTGTTTTGCGAAAGCAACGCTATACATTTGTTGTGAATATTAAGTTTTCAATCTTTAATGCATATTATACTTATCTAGAATATATGTAGGATGGAAAAATAATTTTGCTTGTTAAGATTAGAGTTTGTTAAGGTTGTTAAAATTAAGATCGTTTGCAGTGTTTTTTTTTTTTTTTAGATAATAAAATATATTTTTATCGCTGCAGGACGAATTTAAATATTTTTTACTTTAATTGGCCATTTTCTTATAGTAAAATTTGTATCTATCTACATGAAAGATATTAAAGATATAACCTAGTTATTCTTCAGTATAAAAAAGACGCAAAAGAAATGTGTTGAGATGAAGGTTAAAAATTATTGTAATGAAAGACAATTTCTAAATTCTAAATTTTAATGTCAATTAACTCTATCATTAACCCTTATTATGTCGTTTATTCGATTCTCAATTTTGTCTTATAGATGGCACAATATTATCAATTATGCCTTTAACTTTGTTGCAGTGCTTGATGTTTGTGAATTTCTGAATTTTTATGTCTATATCTCACTCTTGTTTTAACAAAACTCTTAATACCATTGAACAATCGCTGGTGAAATATTGAAACAAAGTCGCGATTACAGAATAATGATTATTTTATACGATCGACTCAAGAAACATTGTCCTTCTTATCCTTTCATTAAGGAACTGCAAAATTTATGTTTTTTTAAAATGTCACAATGATCATTCGCGAGAGGAAACTCCCCAAACGTTGAAACAATTGATATTCCAATATTACAGGTACAGTAAATACGCCGGTAATGACAAATATAATTGCGAATTGTATATCTCTGCTGTATCAACAAATAACTTTAAACAACGAACAATTCTCCCTTATGAAACATTCATAGTTTCCCTTTCATTCCTGTCGTTGAATGAGGATTTATAAATATCTAATATTTATCTACATCATTTCTGTATTTAAGCATTAGCAGCTAATTTCCTACATTTCCCTATTACAATATACGAAATGTTGTAACGTGAAGGAATTCATTTATAAAACAGTATAAAACAACAATGAAATGAAATATCGGTAATGGTATAAAATTCACAAAGAAAACGAATAGTAGCATAAGTATGTATAAAAAGGACCGTAGCAGTAGCACAAATCACGTACGAAACGAAGTAAAGGAAAGTAATAGCAGTAGAAAAATAAATAGCGTAACATCAGTAAAATAATGATAATAACGCAAAGAGAAATAAAGGAAACGAATATCGCGAACACAGTGAAATAAATATATTACATCAAACAACTGGAATAATAACAATGTAAAAGGACTGAAAAAGGGAAAAAAAGGAGAACAGTAATACGAATCAAGCAAAAGCAAAAAAGGAGGCATCAGACAGAATCTAGAAATAAATGTAGGATGAAACTACAGAGGTACCACGCTGGTGGCAAAAAATTTCAAAGGGAAACCAAAACGATTTGTATGATATCGCGCGTCGTTCCACAGAATTCGATTACATCTCAACGGTGCTCTTTTAGATTTTCCGTTCGCCGAGTGTTCCACCACTCGGACGGATGGAACGATTCCGCTTTACAAGCTACAGTGAAAAAATAATGGCGGAAGATGTCGAAGAGATGGTAGGAGGTCTGCCAACAAAAGGGGATGATACCCGAGAGATGAAGCACGCGAAGGGTTGGCGGATGATTTAATTAGTTAATTGTGCGTCATTCATCCGTCTATTCATCCCCTTCGCCCTTCCCTCCGCGATAGCATAACGCCGACGCAGACGTTCTAAGGTTGCCATGGTAACTCCACGGACTTACATAGACCGTTCCCAACAGCTAATTTCGCCTCATCTTTGAAACAATCCAAGAACGCAAATCGGTTTTATCTCTGTCCTTGTCAAATATATTTCTGAAAAACTTTTACCGGTGATCGTGCCGCTCGTTTCTATCACAGGGGGAGAAAAAGAAGCAGAAAAATACAAGGGGGTTGTATATCTAATGATTTTTTCTTTTCTTTTTTTTTCGAAATGCGACACTTGTTCAAAAATGCACGCATAATAATTCGTTCGCAGTATATTTATGTAACTTAATCTGATATTTGGTAAAATATCAAGTATCGAGTAGAATAGAAGATGAGAGTAAAAGTTTCAATCTTCTCCAACTAAACGTCAATCGCGTCGATTATAACCACTTGCGCCGGCTGATTGCGGACCATAACGAGTGACCAAACCTTTTCCTTCCTGAGCTCGTCGGTATGATATCACTGGATAGAAATGATCGAGAAACTTATTATTTGTCTTGCCTGGGTTATATTTCAATTATACGTATTATACTTGATTCAATTATAAGTATTACACTCAAAACTGAGAAGGTATTGCAATTTTGGGATACTGCACGTCGTTTCAGCGCAAGAGGCGTGAAATGAAACACAGATCTCCCATGGTAAAGGACTAATCTGAACTGTGCCTTTGCGCAAACTATAACATCATCAATCGAGAAAACGAAGAACCAGCGATTAATTGCACACCCACCTACGCATAAAGCGAAGATGATAACGTGCATAAATGGGAGCAGGCGGAATACCCGCGCGCAAACACGAACAAACATACACACACACACACGCGCGCGCGCGTATACACGGAAATCGGAAACGCGTGTGTATGCAGAGTGTGCAGAAACGTTAGCAGATGGATATACATGGAAACACGTTGAAAACGTCTAGTGGCGTTGCAGTAGCGGTCGCGTCAGTCTACCTGTCTATAGGCATGTAGGCGGTAATGGTGTTTCTGAATTAGCTGGCAGCTAGTTTGGCCGCCCGCAAGCAAACAGATCTTGGTTACCCGATGTGTAACGTTCCACGTTCGCCCAAACCATCCTATATCTCTATGATCTGGTCTGATCGCGCCGTAGCCGCATGGACTCGTGCAAACGATGACACGAGAGCACAGCTTTGCGTGTACACGTCGTACGTGTATGTATAAATACGCTTGTAGCCGATATAGTACGAGATGCACGCGTGTCAATGTTTAATACAGATGTATTGTAGAATGTTTGTCGTTTGTTTCGTTTTTTTTTTTTCGAAGATGTTGGAGTTTCCATTAAGGGTTAAGGGATGGTCTGATACTTGCGTAGTAGAGGCTCCATTATGGGCACTCTAATGTCAGAGAGAATCTACTCTACTCTACTTTGGTCTATTTATGATAATTAGCGTTGCTCTTGGGATCAGAGATGGATATAGCAATTTGTATCGTATTAGAAAAATTTGAAATGAATTAATTTTGTATATTTTATTATTCTCTCCGAAAGATGTTGGTGGATAAAATTAAATTAAAAGCTCGAAAATCAAGTAATGTAGATAGACCTAAATTTTTCTGACTGATACCATTGTTCTAAACTTTACTAGTAACAACAAGATTTTACTAAACTATGCATAAAAAGGGGCTATGATTAATTCCGTTATCCAAATAGAATATTCAGTAATAATAGGCGTCTTTGTATTAATTTCTTTTCTATCAATTATTATAATACGTTTGTCACAATTCCGTTTGTCAAAATACAAATTCATTCGCAATTCCAGAAGAATAAGCGCGAAAAGAATACGATGTAGCGAGTACAATTTCAAAAGTTCAAAGTTTCAAAATTACAAAAGTTCGTTTCCAACTGAGTACGATATTGTGGATTACACGTAGAGAACTATCTAAATGACAATTTATTGTTATCGCAAGTCCTGGAGACTGAACGTGACAAATATAATATAAAGAAACAAAAATTACTCCGTTTCCTTATCGCGTGTATTGTACAAAAACTACCTGAATAACACCTGTGTGACAACGACGATTCATCGGTATCAGCTGCAATCGTCGTCACCGTGGCGCTACAACGCCGAGGAAAACGAATAATCACTCAACCTCCAACTAACAGCGTAACGTCGAATCCGAGCAACAGAACGAGAAAGAGTAACGAACGAAAAACAAAAATCGTCGATTACCGCGGATGATTACCGCAGACGGGTCAGAGGCTAGGAAGCCGGTCCTCACCGGCTGATAAAAGTAAATGGTAACATTCTGGATGTTTATGGCGTGATTTCGCGGTGGATTTCACGGAGCGGAGTTTGAAATTAAATCCAACGGTTTCGTGCCAGAGGAAAATAATCTCTGGCGAAAGTTGGCCAGACGTTTTTCTCCGCGCTGCTACGCGGTATTCGTCTGCCCTCTCGCCGCTCGCCGGTCTCCGCCGGATCTCCAATCGTATGGAGCGCAAGCGGAAGAGCGGGAGAGTCGATGACGTCTCGCGCGATCAAGGCTGCAGAGGGATGGTGGTGGTTGGATACCCGGCGACGTTACCCTCGCCCGTCTTCGTTCACCTCTGATACGAGGGGTTGAGAATTTGGGGGCGGGTCGTATCGAGCACTCGAGGGTTGCAGGCGGAGCTTACCGACCGCTACACGAGACAAGGAGAGGGAAGGAAGATGTGGTGCGAGAGCGCGCGCGCGCGCGCGCTCGCGCTCGCAAGCACGCGCCCGCACGCACGTACTACGCACGCACGCATGCACGCATGCCGGTTCACACCCATCAAGGGAAAACGGAGGAAGGACACCGGATGCAGGCACCGGAGGAACGAGAAAGGAGAGGGAATGGAGCCGCGAGTAAGAATACGAAACTAAACTGCGGCATGTACATGCATCGACGAGCGGATGAATCAAGAGGATCGGGAAATTGCAGCGGAATGGCTACCGGAAGGAGATTGGAGGATAGGAGGTGGTGATAAGCTTCGTTTTATAAACAGAGGAGAATAAACTACGATCCGACGAACTATGATTCGAACGAGTAAGACTGTTGAAAAATGACGTGGCCAGTCTTGAAGTAAACTGTGTAACTGGAGTAAAAATGATAGGAGGATCATTTTATAAATAGAGAAGAATAAATTATGGAAGAGTTGAGATTATGGTCGAAATTTGGCACTTTGTCGAAGCTGTGATTTTTAACGAAATGACGTAGCCAGTCTTAAATACTTGATTGTTCTCGAGCGTTTGATTTTATAAATATAGCATGGAAACGAGAAGAAGGAAGGAGTTGCGAATAAATCACGGGAATCGGACATTTGCAGTGAAATAGATGGGGAAGAAAATAATTTTAGTAATAAAGTGGAAGTAATGTAATAATATCTAATAATAAAATGACAATAATATTCAAAAGCACTGTAAAATTTGTTCAACAAACTAAAAAACGCGTGCATCCGAAATTTTCTGATGAACGAACAAATTTATATTTATCAAAATAAAATAACTAAGATAACAACTCTAATCTGTAAAAATTATTACTAAATTACAGTTAAATAAAACTTCACTAAAAATAAATCTGACGAGACTTAGCAATTTTCTTCACTTTTGAAACGGTAAATCGATGATCTTAACTAACCAGTACGCAACGTTACGCGACATCACGACAGTTAAAACACACATGCAACATTATAACAGTATTAACAAACAACATATCACTTTTGCTCGCTTGCTCTTCGAAACGAAGGAAACGTGACCAAAAGCGGTAGAGAAAAAGATATTAACAATGCCAGATGGAATCACAAAGTGAAGGAGTGTGTACTCGGTACAGTAAGAGGTTGGGCCAGTCGGGGGTGGCAAATATGAGCAATAGTGGGGTGGAATAGCGTTAAGTACAGATAATGGCTGGTGTTTACCGGTATGGTGATCAGCATGATTTAAGAGCAGCCTGGCGTGAAGCGGCTAATAGGACCCCAAATAAATTAAATTATCATGATAAAAGTGTAGCGGGGTGAGAACGACGTTAACCTTAACGGCACCCCACTGCTTCACCCTGCACAGAGGAGAACGAAAATGGTGATTGTCCACTCGATGGTGCCGCCCTTCTTGTTTACCGACATCTGTCATAACTTGCACCATTTCTCCCTGGCACCTTCGTGCTCGTGCAATTTCAGTGGCTTCCCAATACTATCGTATCGATGCTTTCGTTTTTTTTTTTCTTCTTCTTCTTTTCTTTTTTTTTTATTTTTTTATTTTTTCACTTTTTTAATCCTGCTCGATTTAGTGACAATTCGCCGAGACGAAAGAATGACAAAATTTTTACACGTTTTCTTGTATTGTATATAATTTGTACTTGTCGATATTTAATTTAATTTAGAAAACTCGAATTCAAATACTATAGGATTGTAGTTTGCTTTTTCTTTCGAATGGAAACCATAATTCCCGCGCCCACGAATTAGCTGTACATGTCTACATAATTAATAATATAATTATAAATTTAAACAATTTTGTTTTTTAATGTCTACAAAATAAATCTAAAGTTCTATAGAAAATTTAGAAATAGAGCACTATTGTTTTAATAGTTTAACCAGAAAAATAAAGTCCATCCTTTTATTACATAAATAAAAAATACAAATTTTCAATAAACTTTTATTCGTTTTACAACATCTGTCATAAGCTCTATTTCCCAAAAAGCTTCATAATTACGTATCAATGAACTAGAAAGAATCATAAAAAGAAAGGAAACCCAGAAATTGTTTCAAACAACTAAAACAGAATGTGATTATTGAAAAATTATCTGAACAGAAGAGAATAAAATTCCTATTGTCATTTATAGGAAGAAGATGAACAGATTTATCAGATAATAAGAAATTTAATATATTCTTCTCAATGTTCATTAATAAAAACATTTCTATAAACTTTGCGCAGCGCTATAAATGTATAATTGGACGATTATTTATTTCGGAGTACGTAACGACACAAATCACAGGAGATTAATAGAGGAGACGATAATCGTCGTGATAGTAATTGCGACGATAAAGAAGAAAAAGGAGAAAAATCAACCATATGTGCTCAGCGGGTGGCAAACCATCTCCTCGAGGGACGATTAATGTATCTACGAACGACATAAATAACGAAAGCCAAACGATCAACGGTTTGCATTTGGAACTAATATGAGTTGCAATATGGTATAACGTATTGTATAATATTGTAACGTTCGAGCGCGTTTCTCTAGATAGGGTTATTTGAGTTAGTAGGACAAATTTCAGTCGAATTTTGCTTGTAATTTGTATTTTTGAATCTGATCTATAACGAGTCATGAAAGTGAATGGAATATTTATTGAAGAAAATGTTTATGGATCTATTACGTACACTCGTGTTTAGGGATATTTATATTTTTATTACTATTTTATCGATTGAATGAATTTTGAATAGATTTTTTGATAAAATTATTGGTATATAATTTGCCACGTTAATGGCAATTATTCCTCATTATTATTATTGCTCAATTTTGGAGGAAATATGATAATTATCTTCTTCAATTTTTGGAGCAAATAAATTTCGATATCATAGCAAACATAATGACTATTCTAAGACCTTTAATTAGGAGTATATGTTACTTTTTGAAATTTTAATGACTCTATAATGAGTAGATTGCAGATTTTTATGCAAACTAACTTAATTAAAAGATTCATTTTTCTAATTAACGATAACAACCATAACTTTGGACATTTTACATAATTTTACATAGTGATCGGATTCTCGTACCTTTAAATTTCACACGAATGACTGAAAATTCACAACCTACTGCGATTTATATTAATATCTAGAACTACATTTTTAGATTCGTTCGAACGTTTTACACTGCGCTGCATTTGTGTAAAAAAATTTCAACAAAATTCTACATAACATATCTGCAAAACTTTCTACCTTCGCGAGTCACTGCAGCAATGCGACGAGCATTACGAGATAGGACCATCGTTAGATCTCGATGTGGTTCACCATACGTGTTCCTCCAAATGCTTTCAGCTTAGGACGTGACCCAACAATTCACCTATATAGCAAGTGTGTGACCGGCTGTCAATGTTTGTACACATGGCGATGTTTAGTCGCGCGTACAGCCAGATTAATCTGGAACGTGCGATACCCTTATGTCACTCTTAATCAGCCGCTTAGCCAAACATTCAACGCCATGGGCCTGTTTCATTTTTCCGCCTTAGGACAAGTTGTGTTGACAGATCTCGCCTGCGACGATGCACTCGAATTGCAACGAAATGCAACAAACATATTTTTCGCAAACAAACGAGAAGATCCCCCGACAAGGAGAATATTATTGTTCGTGTGGATTCATATTTCCACGAGTATAATTTGGAAAAAAAAATGGACATAACGAATATCATATCTATGTATATTCCATTTTTATTATTTTTGAATATAATATAATATTTAATATTATAATATACTATAATAATATTTAATAAACATGATATAATATTTTATTTATGTTTTAACTTCTAATTACTAGAACTATCATTGTATACAATGTAAATTTAAGTTTGAATTTTTAATTTCAGTCTAAAATATTATTTATCAAAATTCTGAAAGACGAACAAACATAGAAAATGAAAGGAACACTCTACATTTACATAAACAAACTGTAATTCTCGAAAAAATTGATGACGTGTAATCAGATTTTCAACGAAACTAATGAATCATATTTTATGCAAATTATTTTTACAGAGAGATGAACAATGTGCTGCAAAACTAAATTCCAAGAATTCTAAAACTGCCTTTATCAAATTAAGAAGACGATAAGTTGAATTAATTTTTCAAATCCTATAATTAGAGTATACAATTTTAATAGTCACGTTCACCTCCCGTATAAATGTACTGTGATTAAAATTGTACAATTTTGACGGTGACAATCATTGGTCTATCGTTGCTGTTCCCTTTATACGAAGACAGTCGAATTTCGTTTTGATTTATTGCGCGTATAAAGTCATAAAGGAGAGAAAATCGGGTCTGGCCAAGACCCGTTCATAGGGCTAATCGTTAGGGCGGTCACCCTCGGTCCTCTGTCCTTCCCTTTCTACCATTCCCCCTTCCTATTTTCAACCCCAAATCATAGTATTGCAACCCAAGGGGGATTTACACTGGCGGTAATTGCATTAGCATTCGATGATTTTTATTGGTCTCTCCTTGCGATTAGTATTAATTCGAGGCAACGTATTATCAATAACACGCATTACTGATTTCCTTCTGTCTACTCCAATCGCGCGTTTCACATTAGGGAACGTAGACTAAATAAATATTTGCGGATGTGTACGTATGAAAATTCATATTTTTTTTATAATAAAAATAGAACCTCTTGCTCTCGAAGATAATTAAAATCATTTCCACACGTTTCTAACAGTTACGAATGGTAATAATTTTAATAATGACAAATTCTGAAATATGGAATACATATTAATCCCTAGATTTAGACGAAAAAGTAAAATCTAGGTAGAAATTTATTTTACCTATTACTATGATTGAATATTGAACTCTGAATGATATTTTTGCATAAGATGCTTTTAAATTTCCCATAAATGCAAAGAAACTCAGCATCATTAACTGTGGATAAGTAAATAAACTGTGGACTATAAGGAATGGAATGATATTTTGAATCTTTTGATAAATACACCTTAGATACAGTTACAATCTATTGCACATTGCAAAATTTCATTCTGTATGAATTGGAAATGCAATGGAAATCTTTCGTCATTACTCCTTTTAGCCAGTGTCTACGATTAGGCATATCGTAATTAAATTATAAAACAAATTTAAACAGATAAATTTAGATTTTCAAAATCGTGATTCGCACACCACTGCATGCAGATCAATACTTCGTATACAAAAATATATTTTCGAAAAGGAGGAGTACTTTTCTAAAGGAGCGCTAAATACACAAAGATATGAAATAATTCATGTTATATATGTTATGTGTAATAATCGACAGGTTGCGCGGCCCAGCACGCCCTCCTTGGGAAAACCAGAAGGCCGAGAACCGCTTTCACGTCGCAACAGCTACTCGAATTGGAAAAACAATTTCGACAGAACAAGTACCTTAGCAGACCGAAGAGATTCGAAGTGGCCACTTCGTTAATGCTCACGGAAACACAGGTAAACGATGCTTCATCTGTACATTGTGAATCACTAAACCGAATTAAACTGAATACATAAAAGATTAATCCTCGTCCAACGGAAGCTGGATCGATTGTTGTTACGATCATCGAACATTCCATTTGATAGCCATAAAGCGAGACAGAGATAAGACTTTTATGCAAATTTATATTTTTTGAGAAGGCAGAAGCTTGACGAAGAATTGTTTCGGGTACCGGGCATTATAGAAATTAATAGGAATGACAATATCATAGATGAAAATATTAAAGAAAATTCTATTCTGCGTAGATATTCGTATTTGGAGTAATTTTGATTAGAAGATTTTATAATTTATAGAAAACTATATATAGCTAGTATATATAACTACATACTCATATTTTTAAGATAACTACATACTCATATTTTTAATTAAAAAATTAGAATATTATGAATGTTTCGTTCATAGTAAGAAGTCGTTAAAATATTACTGAGTATTTCATTCGTAGCAAGAATTCATTGGAATATTTCAAAATTTCCTGTAAATACATAAAAATCCGCCGTCTAGCGACAAAAAAATGACATAAATCACTTAAACAATAATTTGACAAGATAATAACACGCAGGTGTAACCTTCGAAGGTAAAGTAACTGCACGAGTCAGAAAATTGACGCAGCTTTCGTTATTCGAGGGTCAATAGCTCTCCCAATCACTACAAATTCATTCTCTCTTTTCTTTTGTCATTTTTTCTTTTTTCCTTGTTCTTTATTTTTTTTTAGCGACAAAAAAGTGACATAAATCACTTAAACAATAATTTGACAAGATAATAACACGCAGGTGTAACCTTCGAAGGTAAAGTAACTGTACGAGTCAGAAAATTGACGCAGCTTTCGTCATTCGAGGGTCAATAGCTCTCCCAATCACTACAAATTCATTCTCTCTTTTCTTTTGTCATTTTTTCTTTTTTCCTTGTTCTTTATTTTTTTTTAGCGACAAAAAAGTGACATAAATCACTTAAACAATAATTTGACAAGATAATAACACGCAGGTGTAACCTTCGAAGGTAAAGTAACTGTACGAGTCAGAAAATTGACGCAGCTTTCGTCATTCGAGGGTCAATAGCTCTCCCAATCACTACAAATTCATTCTCTCTTTTCTTTTGTCATTTTTTCTTTTTTCCTTGTTCTTTATTTTTTTTTTAGCGACAAAAAAGTGACATAAAACACTTAAACAATAATTTGACAAGATAATAACACGCAGGTGTAACCTTCGAAGGTAAAGTAACTGCACGAGTCAGAAAATTGACGCAGCTTTCGTCATTCGAGGGTCAATAGCTCTCCTAATCACTACAAATTCATTCTCCTTTTCTTTTGTCATTTTTTCTTTTTTCCTTGTTCTTTATTTTTTTTTTAGCGACAAAAAAGTGACATAAAACACTTAAACAATAATTTGACAAGATAATAACACGCAGGTGTAACCTTCGAAGGTAAAGTAACTGCACGAGTCAGAAAATTGACGCAGCTTTCGTCATTCGAGGGTCAATAGCTCTCCTAATCACTACAAATTCATTCTCCTTTTCTTTTGTCATTTTTTCTTTCTTCCTTGTTCTTTATTTTTTTTTCTTTTTTTTTTTTCAAGAAGAAATGTAACGTTTTGAGAGAGAAGGAAAAAAAGAAGACAAGCGAACGAGAGAAAGAGAGAGAGAGAGAGAGAGAGAACGAAAGAGAGCGCAAAGAAAGGGAAAAAGCCTCCAGAGAAATCGGTGAAATAATCCAGGACCCTTCTCCTTCACCGGCAGAGCGAACGAGCGAATCTCTCTTGCATAGTTCAACAACTTAAACATAACTTTGAAGCTTACGGTGTTCTGACGGATCGCTCAGCAAATAGCAACGAAAGTCTGAATTATGGCAGACTGAGTCCCTGATTTGTTTCGATATTCAACTGATTCAACTTTAGCGCATTTAAGCTTTCGAATTGCCCGGACATTGCGTTTCTCATCACATCCCTCACGTTCCTTCACATTTCCTTTTACATGGGTATACAGTATCGACAAAAGGGGATTCAAGTATCAAGTAAATGCTAAATCGATGTTAATCTTGATACATTCGATGATACACCGCCGATCATAAATATCAGGGCAATTGCGATAAGCAAGATATAAAGGTCTTGAAGAATTCATTAGAACGTTAATTAAAACGTTTGGAATTGTTGCTTTGTACGAGATCTTGTAACGTTAATTAAATTTAATCACAAATCATAGAATTCTCTCTCTCTCTCTCTCTCTATTTTATTTATGCATCTACATCTTCCTCAACGTTGAATCTTGTTTATGATTATTAAGTCAGTGCATATGAAACGTCGTTACAAATCCCAAAAATCTCATGGAACATCGAATCATTCGCGGAATTATCATTTTGTTTGGAACCTTGCGAAGTTTTAAATAAATAATCGAACATTCAATATTTTTCTGATTTGTGCGTCTCTCTGCTTTTGCTACTTGCAAAAGTCACATTCACACTGCGAAATTATCAACTTAACGTCATATGAAACTAGAAGAAAGAGTTTCACGGACTTTTGCGCGCTTTTAAATTATTTAATCTACTAAATACTTGTGATGTTGACCAATATTTTCAGAATACGAATTAACCAAAACCTTAAAAACCATAAAACCTTAAAATCTTGAAATCTTTTTCCATTTAAAATATTTAAAAGATATGTATTATGTTCAAAAAATTATATCCAAGCCTTTCTTTTTCTATTCAAAATATTTAAAATTCGACATACGCAAACTTTCCTAATCCAAGTAGAAATTTGTTTCATCAGCTAAATATTATAACAAGTATTTTGAATTATTTCGTATATTTCTTCGCTTTAAACTTGTATTGTATTATCTTACAAATTTCCTATAAATGCATCAAAATCCACAATCCGGTCATATGGTATTACGGTGCTGATAAAAGTTTCAATAAAGTTTCGCACAACACGCGTAACATCTATATTCATGCAAGTTTCCTATGGTAAACGTTCGAATGCTTTTATCGTCGGTGGCAGTATCTATTATAGCGAGAAAAAAAAGCACGTTCCTTTCCTCGAAGGGTGAAGATGTAGTAGGGCTGGGAATGAGACGTTGGGGAGGTTCAAGCACGTGATATGTTGTCTAAAGGATTTACACATCGTTCTCTTGTGGGATTGAGAAAGGAAATATCCAGTCCATGTAGGTATATTTGCACCGATTCGAGGGGTCCAATTGTATCTTGTGTGCGATTACAATTTCTTGCCACTGGAAAGTAATTCGACGCTACGTCTTTGGCTTCCACTTTCCTTCAATCCGTCACTTATTTATTTCACGCGAAAAATACTCGTGGGAAATATGATAAATCGACTTTTATTGGTCTTTATACTTTAACGTCACTTTGGACCATTTTCAATCGTATTTTTCCTCCTTTTCTTTCCTTTCAATCGTTCTAGTTTGATGATCTTTTCGTCTCAACATTTGAAGCATAAAGATCACGCTTACTATTTTGTTTTTCCATCTTAATTTCCTTAATGTTATTTTAATGTTCTTATATTTTCGATATTCGTTTGAGTGAAACGTTATTACATTGATCACATTGATAACTGACAGACCACGGATTTTTATGGAAATTCACATTTTTGAAAAAGAGTTACAACGTTCTGTGGGCAAGCATGTTACTCACCTCTAATTATCTATTATTCCAGGCTTTACAAAAAAAATCATACAAAAAGATATTATATTACTTAACGAAGTCTTACATCGCACCATACGATCAAGTCCTTAAAAGATTTTTTTCGAAAGAACAAAAATTCGCTTCAAGGAATTGAACGAGTGAAATTTCGTTCAAAAGTTCGATCTAGGAAGAATTGAGAAAATGAAAGCTAGATAGAAGATTACGTTGCAAAGGACGCTGAACTTTGAAAACTATAATTTTTTTCGTACTATCCTCCCTTTCAAAGTATCAAAATACGCAAAAGTCCGCGGTCTGACGGTCAATGTTGCCTTTGAATCTTCTACATCCCTCATTGCATTGTCACGCACGTGTGATTATAAAATTTAGGTGAAAATCTGGTTTCAAAATCGGCGAATGAAGTGGAAAAGGAGTAAAAAGGCGCAACAAGAGGCGCGGGCGAGTAACAAGGTGGAGGACGGTGGAGGGAACGTGAGGAACAGCGAGAGAGAGACCGGCGGCGATCCGAATCCGAATTCGCCGAGTCCACAGGAGGATGCCAAGGGGACGACTCTGCAGGAGGCGCAGAGGAGCACGACCGAGCTTCAGGAGCCGCTCTATCGACCTTACGTGGTATAAAACACTGACCAAAACGATCGACCCACGCGGTGTGCCAAATAAGAACCAACCGACGACGTCGAGTTGCCACTTGGCGTCATTTTTGTCGATTCAATCCGTCGTTGATACCTTTGATACTTTGGTGTGATACGTTCGATCGTTTGTCGAGTAAAAATTTTTTTCATACTACACACGACGACAACAACAACAACAGCAACAACAAGGTTAGTCTCGTTTGGAAAAACATATTTGGAGAGATGTAACGTGCAAAATGGATTGAATAGCGAAGCGATCGATCGGATTTTAAAAGACAAATCGCGGATAGTGTGCATGTATAATATAAGTATTGCACTGTTGTTACACGTGGCAGAACTTGTATGTAAATATAGGGAACAATACGACGAATAATATATGCATATACGCACACACGCACACGCGCGTTGCGTCTCGTAACTACAGGTACTGTAGAGAGAAAAGAATTTCGATTTTTATATGACGGGGTTCGAGTTAGGGTCGTTTTCAGTCAAATTTTACTTTTGAGTCAAAGTTTATTTGAAAACTCAAAGATTGTGACTTTTTAGGAGAAAATGTAACGGCTAACTCGTTAAAAATTGGCTTGATCAATTATGATGATTCAGTAACGTGTGTTATATTACTTCAAAAGTATCGACACGCTTGCAGTTCCAGTGCATTAATGGTGGAGTGTTTATTAGAAAAATTACGAAATATCCTTTTAATGAATGATACTGCGTCAGTATTAGGAAAGGAAAATTAAAAGTATTTTATATTCTGTTCAAACACGTGCCAGAACTGCACAAAGAAAAATCCCACGTGCGTCAGTACTTGATTCCTTTTGATCCTCGAATTATTATGCTACTTGTACTATCATTGCACAACTTGTTATTTACACGTTACTTTTGTACGTAGTAAACTGTTGTTTTGTGGAAACAGCTTTTGTTAATGTATTTGTTTTCACAAATAGATGTTGCAAGAGAACTAGGAGTGTACCAATACTTTTTTAATCCCCACTGTAGTTATGAGACGCAATGTGGGTCTACACACGCGACGCGAGATCATGTCAGACCGGTGGATCGGCGCGTCGATCGTGGTTATCGACAGCCTAGAAAAATTCATCGAACCCTCCTTTATGGCGTTCCTCCTGAATCGTTTTGAAATGTTTACATACCGAAGGCTCGTACAAGCGCGTGTTTTTATTCCGTATCGACGAAAGAAAGAGAAAAGGAGAACATGGCTTATATTAATATAAGTATAAAAGTGGGAAGAATTATATATATACGCGACGATTCGCAGCAATAGTTGTATAAAAATCATCGATTAGCACGCAACGGCCACGCGCGCCTTGTGAAAAGATTGAACCTTCTTGACTGTAACTCTTCTCCAACGTTGCTCTAGATCCACATGAATTGAAAACACGTATCTATTTATGATAAATTACATAATTGTAAATAATATTCGTATACGTCTAGGGTAGAAAGTGCGATGCGAAGGAAAACAAGTCATATTATGTCGCAACAAGTTCCTAAAATAAATCACAAATATCGATGACAAACGTACGACTTTCTATTTACACCTCAACTCGTTTCTGTAATATGAATTTTATTCGATGCAGGTTGAATTACGAAATTAATCTTTAACCTCTTGTCTAGTAGTACATATACTGATTGTGAGTTACAACTCATGGTATGGATCGTGGATCAAGTACAAACGAAGGCAAACCGTACTTGGTTGTCGGAGTTCAATTTTTCCTTCCGTTTTGTCTCAAGATTGCAAAATTATTGAAAATAAATTATGAAGGTATATATTTTGCTCTAAACTGCATGTAAACTTTTTTATTATACGTAGATCATTGAAAACAAATCGTGTAGGTACATACAGGAAATAATATATACATGTAAGTATCTAAATAGATATCCGCGAAAAAAAAGGTCATAAATCAAAACTCTAATACACGTAGATCATTTAAAGATTAGTTCAAAAAATTTGTAATAAAAACATGAAATGCAAAGAGAATTTCAGTTTCCAATGTGGCCACGAATTTCATGCTTCTATCAAACAGGAATATTAAAAATGAGTATTAAGGTAGCATCGAAGTGAAAAAAAAAGATAAAGTGACCTTCTTAAGAAATTGAATTTCTGGTTAACAAAAAACTAATTAATTAATTCGTTTTTAATTAGTGAGAAAAATTCACGATACAGCGACTCCATAATTTTGCGTTCCAATATCTTTGGATCCAACGAAAATAATGTTGTTGTGTGTCCTATTCTTTCAAAAAGACAATAGAAAACTACCAGTATAAATAGGCATACGTAAGTTTACATTATTTTTAAACTACGAGTGGTTGTTCTTGTAAAAGATTTGACGATATTCAAAGGAGAGACACGATCATATGTTTCCCACCACGCAGTATCCCAGCGAAGAATCATCAGTATTTATGATATGCTAATTTCCCGTTACAAATTCCGCGATGTTTCGCGGACGACTGCTCTTACCGGCTACAGCCAGTGAAAACCACCCGTTTGGAAAACCAGTCGTCAACGAAGGAATGGAAAGGAGTGGCAGAAGAAAAACTATATATCTACCAGATATCATCGTATCTCGTTCTCCTAAAATGAGAATCGGTTCACGACACTTTTGAAAACATTCAATAATTCCATACTTAATATCGTCAATTGTTATTCCTGACGAAGTTCGACAATATTTAATAAATTCATAGCGTTTCCACTACGAACGAATTATGAAAACCTATTACGGAAAATGAAGAAGAAATATTCAACATTTAGGTATTGATCTAGATAGATCTTTCGAATTTTTCGTATCCGAGAAACCGTACAAAGAGTATTCTTTTTTATTTTCAAGATTGATTTCTTTACAATATAATAAGAAGCAACAATAAAAATGCACGAAGAAGAAAAGTCCAAACGGACTGAATTCTGATCAGTGAAATCAAACAGAGTTTCACAGAATTATGCCGCCGGCTGTGTCACATCTTTGTCTACGTAGTAAATCAAATGAGAGTGTGCAATCATCCGAAACTGAATGCAGACATGCAGACGTCAAGAACGTTACTCCGATCGTCTTCACCGTGATGTTCAAATAACGATTTTTCACGGATGTAACAATTAAACGGCGGTACACCGCTTTTGTCATCATCAGAGCCGATCGACTCAACGTTAGAACGTAGACGATGAAAATCTTGCCCGGGCAAAGTTAAGGATTACGACGGTCGCGGGGTGTTTCGCGGGACTAACTAGAGGGTGGCGCAAGAGTGGAGCGTGCAGACGAGAGCAGAGGCGGGGCACTCATGTTTATATGCATTGTATTGCTAAAACCCTTTTAACCGAATTACATTTAGCGATTCTAGTGCCGCTTTCCCAGCTCACTCTCTCTCTCTCTCTCTCTCTCTCTCTCTCTCTCTCTCTTCTCCCTTCTCCAAGTCTGCCAGTAGCCGTCGTCACCCCTCATGCGCTTTTCACTCTCAACTCCCAACCTTCGATTCTCTCTCTCTCTCTCTCTCTCTGTTCTTTTCCTTCATCTCGTCGCGTACTCGTTCATACGACGAAGACGACGAAGACGACGACGACGACGACGACGACGACGACGTCGACATTGCGCTAGCTCCGGTGTAGTGGGTAGCAATGGTGGGGTTGGAAAACCAATGGGGCAGGATTCCGAGACTTGGAACGGCATCCCTGAATTCTTGATTCTCTTGGTAAACAAGTGCTTAGGTGATTGACTGCTTGTTCGCTCCTATCGGCCGTCGTTTGTTTCTAGACGCCATTGCGTTTTGCGATTCTACCTCGTTTTCCGGTCTAATGGCTTTCCGTGACTAACGGTGGATAAGGTTGCTCGGAAACTCTCACTCCTATTTCTATTTATCTTTTATTTCCTCTTCTTTCTTACTTTCACCCAACCCCCTCCCCCCACTTCCTCCCCCGCATTTCCTCTTCCTCTTGATATTTCCTTGAGCGTACACGTAGGTACACATACGTGTATGTGTATTTGTTATCACGCGAGAGTGATTTCATTTGTATTAAACGCACTTCTCGGTTTTAATTGTCGCTGATGCTCGTATTTATAAATAACATGGGAGAGAGTAGTCTGGAGTAGTCTATATTCAAAGACGTAAATCTTCTGCAAAAGGCCTGCGTTTATGCAAATTCATATTCATATTCATTTTTTATCAATTTCATATTTTTATATGGTTTACAAAAATGGAATCGAGAATTGCATTATCTGTTAAATATTACAATAGATATCATATTCTGTATATTTTATACAATTTTGCATGTTATGCAAGATGCACACAATGCTTATAATACGCAAAAGTACATAAAATATCCAAAGTAGAGTATTTATTGTTAATGTTTAGTAAATGAAACAATTTTAGTTATCTTCATAAAAATATTAACTGATTATTTTGTACTTAGATAGTGTCCACTCCAAAATTTTATCAATATATCTTCTCGATTGTATTTTTGCAATTGTTTGATTATTGCAAGCTCTATCTCCCTAACTGTAGTTTTTAGTTTAGTTATATTCAACTGCTTCGTTCTACATGAGACGACAAATTCGTGGAATATTAATTCTTACCTGGTATAATTGGACCATTGCACCATAATCATTTGGAGTTAAATTACTTAGTTTCAGAATATATAATTTAATCGAATTCTCTCGCGTAGAATGCGTAAAACACAAAATTCAACGTACTCTTTCAGTTTTCAATTTTCAGTCAACTAACTCAAAATAGTTCATCGTAGTCTTGTCGATGAACAAAGGATTGGATTGTCAAGTAATTAATAACGCTAGCAAATGAATAATCGCGCGATGTCGGAAAATCGAAGATCCGACTTGTCTCGTTCGCGGATCCCGCGACGGATTCCATCATTAGCGCTAACAAGGTTGGCCCAAGGCTACAAAGGGGACTTTACCCTTCGTCGGACTAACCTCTAGGTACACATACACACGCGTGCAAACACGTGCAGAAATGAACACGAATAGAGAGTATATGAGGGTATACACACCCCCGAGTTGTAGCTTGGTCCCTCTTTGAAACAAGAGGGGATAATAAGATCTACGACAATCAACTCAAGAACGACGATGCCGAGAAACGAGCGACAGAGAGAGAGAGAGAGAGAAAGAGAGAGCGAGAGAGAGAGAGAGCGAGAGAGAGAGAGAGAGAGCACTGTGAGATACGACCTATCGGATGAGCTGAGGTGATATTCGTCACGTGATATTCACATTTCACTTTACCGTGAACTGTGGTACTGAGAACAAAAGTGGAGTATACGAGCGTATATTTTCATTAAACAGAGAGATTATTTTCCGATTTTAACCCCTCGAACTGATCTATCGACTAATTGAGACATTAAGAGTGAGAGTAAAAATCACGTTTCTATTAATCCTTTGAGTACTAATTGTCTATCGATCAATTGAGACATTGAGAGTAAAAGCGTGTAAAACGTTTCTACTAATCCTTTGAATGTTAATAGGAACGTGCTTTACACACTCTTGCACTCAATGTCTCAATTGATCGATAATCAGTTTAAGGGGTTAAAATCGAAAAATAATCTCGTATTTAATAAAAGCTTTCAGTCAATAATAAAATAATTAGTTTACTTATTAGAAGAACGTATTATAATGTATACGCTTCAAGATGAATACGAATGCTCTTTATTCTATATAGCAAACTTTTAAATGTTTGCTAATTCTAAATACTTGAGAAATTAAATATGAATATTATGAATATTTGGAATTTATTTTTATAGCTACAGTAACAAAAACAAAATTCGATAAATCAAATGAAAAAAAAAGTTGCAAATAATGCAACGATCTTTAATGGGTTAGTAATGTATTAAAATTAAGGTACTACCCACAAGTAGCGATTGCAGCCAAAAGAATGAAACGCAATACTATGTATAATATAGCAAAAACGTATAAATATTTTCCTGCCAATTTTCAGCAACTTATAAACGTACATTTTTTATACATTTTTTACTGCAATGAAAAATTATTGTCACATTAAAGAAATATAAATGTGCTTTCAGGTATCATCAGGATATAAAGGATTAAAACATTTAAACGTATAGAAATATATAGTAGTTCTAATTAATATTCGAACACCAAAGTGTTTGACAGATTATCGATTGTATGCATACCTGCTTGTTTCATAATGGTAATCTATTAAATTAATTGTTCCTTAATATATGAAAACCATCATTACAGTTAATAGATAACCTAAACTAGTGGTGTAACTTAAAATCGCAAAAAAATTCGGATAACGAGTAATTAACACTTTTTTTAATAACATTAGATTAATTTTTAACGTGTACAATCTAAAAATATTAGTTTTAAGTTATATGAAGTTTATACAGCTTATATAAAACTTATACAGTTCAGTTGAGTAAACGATTTTGAAATAGTTTTTAAAACGATCCTGTATGGTATGGTTATATATAATCCCCGTATTTTAAAACTAATATCTTTAAACTCTCTTCAATCAAAATTATCATATTATTATAAATACATACATATATGGTGTAGCTCGAAACGAAGTTCCTCTCTGATGCACTTGTTAAACAATAGATTTCACTTCAACAATTTAACAAACAAAAATCGTTTCAAAACTATTGATTTTGTCACTTTCAACGGTTGAACTGAATACAGTTCAAATAAATCATAGAGGGCGTATGGAACATTCGAATTTTTACGACGTCGGTATTACAGATTTTCTCATAAGATAACTGAGTCGACTGATTGGTGTATTACCATTTACTGGTAAGTAGAAGATCAATTGCAAATGAATCAGCAGGATGTCGTAGCTGGTTTTATTCGTTACACTTGATGTATATATATATATATTTAAGTAATTAAAACGTGATGTATAAGAGAACGTGCTTCTTACTTTATATTTCGACATTAAGAATATTATCATTTTATAAAAGGTATGTAATTTGAATTTTACACAATGTGCTATATATTAATATAACATGTTAATTATTATTGACAGTTACAGTTTCCAAGAAAAAGTGTCTTTAATAATTGCTTTGAAAAATTACGTTAAACACGTGTAACAAAAGTCACTTTGTAACTGACTGAAGCACACGAAGAATAAATAAAAGTGGCTGTGGTTGTGTGTATCATTATGTATTGGATTTAACGTAGAAAATGACGAATGTATATGGAAAAGTGGTTGTTTTGGGTTCACAAGGTAAATTTCATAAGAGAATGAATGTAATTAATCTCGTTACATTTTTAATTTATTTATTTTTTCATTTGATATTCCTGTTGAATATACACTCATTCTTCGTAAAATATTGTATAGTGTAACATATATATTTAACTGGTTTTCTATATTGTAATTTCAGTAAAAGATTTGTAGGTTAACTCATTGTTTTCTCACTATGTACTTTTCAACTACATATTTTGTAATAACACTTGATTTCTATTGACAATTTTTCAGGTGTTGGCAAGACAAGCATAATCAAGCGTTACATTGAAAAAAAGTTCAACGAACATTTGAATCCTACAATTGGAGCATTATTTTTCTCTTGCAAATTAAAAATAGAAGATTCAAGAGTAATACTAATGGTACAACAATAACCATGAAATAGTTTCAGTTACAGTTATTTTAGAATTCAAAAAAAATTCAAAAATCTTTTAGAATTCAAAATTGTTTCTCTTTGCTCTTTCTACTATTTTATGCTCTTTCTACTATTCGTTAGAACACACTAAATGAATACAGATATTTTCAAAATAAAAGAGAATGTAACATACAAAATTATTATAGATCTACATCGCATTCTAGGAGTTGTATAAGATTATTAAGTATTTGTGCATTTTATTTATTTTACGCAATGTAGATTTGGGACACAGCAGGACAAGAAAGGTTCAGATCAATGGCGCCAATGTATTATCGAAAAGCTAATGTAGCTATGTTGGTGTTTGATTTAACTGAGTACAGTACATTTACAGCAATGAAACGATGGGTGGAGGAACTTCAAAAAAATGTGGAAGATCCTATGGTATTGGTAGTAGTTGGAAACAAATTAGACTTAATGGAAAAACGGCAAGTTGACGCTGAGGAGGCTAGAGTTTACGCTACGAAAATTGGTGCAAGCTATCACGAAACGTCGGTGCTACAAAGTGACGGGATAGAAAATCTATTCTTAACTATTGGTACAGGCCTCCTTAAATTATCTTCTACCAACTATGATTTGATATCACTAAGGTCAGTCAATTCGATAGATTTAAACTGGAGTGGTATAAATACGTTATGTACACCGACAATCGAAGAAAGTGCTCAAAATCTTAGTACCGCTCATGGAACACAAGAGAGATTTTTCAAATGTTGCTAACCCCTCATCCCTTATTTCATGACTTTCTAAATATAGACTGATGCAACCTTTGTAATTACTTTTTAATAGCTACATTTTGAGATAAGATCTCAATATTCTCCCGTTATATAAATGCGCACAGACACGATTCAAAAAAATGTCTGTTGTATATAAAATTTATTATAAATATGTCTGCCTTTCCTATGTATTTTTAATATATTTTTAATAAAAGTAAAAAATATTTTATGACTACATTACGACTACGCTGAATACTACAATATGATATACCGTGATAAATTTGACTTAATCGAGCTGGTAATTAGTCGTGTAAATGGAATGTATTAACTATCGGTATTAATCACAGTACGTATGTATCACATTAGTGTTCATAATGAAACAAATAGAGGAATTTTGTGCTCATAAGCACAAAACGATAATAGTAAGGTGAGTCATACCTTCTTTGGGCCAGGCTTCGTGAAGCGTAACGCATCCCAGCTTTGTTTATGTTAACTTGTCTCTCTTCCGTTACATAAGGATTCCTTTGGTGCACCTTCGGTTATGCCTCAGATAGTTCATAGTAATGATGATTCACTGCACAAAGAATTCGTTAAATGAGACAGATAATCGTTCAGAATGATTGAAATGATTGCATCGATTCATTTGCTGCAACAATGATGTACCTCAATAATAATACTTTTAGGGGAAAAAGTTTGAATATTTGTATGTATCAGATCGTTTAGATTTTTAATTATACCATTGTTGCAGAAAGTGTATTGTATTAAAATCAAAAACTAATGTTTGATATAAAAAGTGTAATTGTAAGGTTTAATTGAATTAATCGGTAATGAAATTACTATCTATTCGTTATATCGTTTTTCTCGATTGAATTACACTTATAGTGGCTCACGAAAATATTTGAACGCTCATTGCAGGAACCTTTATTAAACTTCCAATAAAGGTGATCTAAATGTATAATGTGATTTATGAGAAAAAACTTCGACACTATCTCCAGATAGTTTCGCGAGGCATTCTATGTCAAAAAAACTTAAAAAAATTTAATCATAAACCGTGTATCCTTAATTTCGTTTCAAGTAATGTATGTAGGTACTCGCAACGTAAAGTTGTATTGTGCGAGTAACCCAATTAGCCGCGTTCATTCTACGCGACCAAGTCGCGTGAATAAGCGCGAGAAGAAAGGAGCGCGTTATTTGAACATCGTGATGTTCGTGTAACCACGCAGGAGAACAATGTGCCGCGAGTGCACATTGAAAGAGTATCTTCGTGTCTATGAGTAGAGATCTACGACAGAAGGAGGAGAAGCAACGCACAGAGAAACGTTTCTAACGTAACAGCTCCTTTGGCGAACTCTCTTTACGTTTTGTATAAGAGAGCATTACCGTTCGTTAGTATTCTCAGTCAAGTTTAGATCGTCGAATGTTACAGAAACCAAACTGGAGAACTATTTCATTTCATTTCTGAGAAGTGTAAGATGTATGGCCGCGTTATCGATAATGTCATTAAGCCTTGTAACAACAGTGAACGTAAACTCGACCAATCGAATCTTTATTTAATTAATCATCCGAGCAATAAGTAACAGATCGATCATACGAATTTAAATCATTGATTATATATCGATGTTAAAATGTCCAGACCGAGTTGTATATCTCTGACACTCGCGATTCAAATTTTCATTGTTCTTCAACAATGTTCGCGCACTCGGTGCCTCACGATTGACAGTCGCTTAACTCCTACCGGAAATGGTAATTTGTGCAATAAAACGTATAAGAAACGTGTTCCTGTCATGAGAAATGAATCTTTTGTTTTAGATTGTTATACAAGAATATCTATTGGCTCTAAACTACCCGAAATGGATATAGTGTTACGAACTAATGCTATAAGTTTAACAGAGTGTGAAGAATATTGTTTGAAAAGCAAGCATGGTTGCAATGCATTTTCATTTGGGTACGGAAGGACATTGGCAATATTCGTATTCTAAAAAAATATCTCGAAAATTACTTGAATAAAATATAAAGGAGCTCTTATTACGCATAATTTCTCGGTTAAATTTTATGTGAAATAAAATAATTCTTAAAATACTATCGATTTACTTGAATTTTCTTTTTTTTTTTTTTTTTTTTTTTTTTTTGGTTTAAACATTTACATTTTTTTTTTTTTTTTTCTTTTTTTTGGTTCAAACATTCACATTTCTTTTTCTTTTTAGCGTCGGTGCAAAAGGTAATAGTACCTGTCTAATTAGCCGACGGATACCAGCGTTAGAAGATTTAGAAACTCATCCAGAATACGATGTTTACGCGAAAAATCGAAGAGATTCGATATGGTGTGATTTCGATCGTTTCTACAAGAGTTTCATACACGAAAGTGAAAATCGTTCTGTGAAAATAGATAAACTTATTGGTAAAGGGTCTGTTACAAATAACAATAATCTTTTCTCGAAATTAGTACCAGAATCGATGTCGGTGTTCGCACCACACAATACACTGTCATTTTCGAGGTAATACTCTTCTTATTTTTATTTTTACAATTGAACAAAGAACGTGATGAGCAATTTTAAAATTCACATTAACACAAGTAACTCTAACAGAATCAGCAGATTGCTACAAAATTTTTTGCTCTTGTTCTGAAAAAAATGTGCAAGTGTTTCTAATAATATATTAATTCTTTAATATTCGAAATAAATGAAAATGACAAATTGCGCCTTATATTTAAACGCGTCATTAAAGACATAATGTTAATGTTTCATGATCAACAACTTACATTGCATTAAATATAACAATTTAAACAGAATATGTAAGAGAACATGTGTAATTTTAAAATTTCAAGAAACAAAAATGACATGGTGAATTATGGACACGTCGGTAGCTACGATTTATTTATTAATCATGATCAACGATCTCATTCTGATGGCAACAACCGTAGTATTTTGGACGTTATTGGAAACAAAAATGGGAAAACGTCATACACCCCTTTCGGTAAGTTACAATATTTTTAACAAAATAACTGTTAGTATAATTGTTAGTAATTTAGAGTATTCAGTTTAGCAAAAACAAAAAACAGATGACATTGTGTTACCATGATTTCTAAAAACCTGCTATATAGAGTTAGATACTATTTTCGTAGAAGCGACAGATCATCGACAAAAAGGTACTGAATGTATATGTAAATGACCAATTTTTTCGAATCATACTACAATTACAATGATCGAGCTAGCTGAAATAATAGCGTCTTGTATCCTTGACGAACCTCGAAGGACGCAAATAATAGAGCTTGCTTAATTTTAAAGCGACATAATTTTAATGTATAAAAACTTAATATTTAAACGAGGAGGAACTTATTTTTTTTTATATATAATTCCAATATATTCTATTAACAGATTCTATTAAAAATTATATATACCATAAAAAGTCAAGTGAAATCAAATATTAAGTTACAATATTATAGAAAAGTCAATTTGTAAAACATATTAAATTATAGGGAAAAAATTATATATACCTAAGAATGAGATTTAGTAAATTTAATATTATACTGTAAAATTAATTTCTTGCGTTTGATGAACAAAGTAATTAAAGAGAACGATCAACTTCAATATATTAATAATAAGCAAGAGGTAAATATAACTTTATCATTAAACGTTTAAAAAGATTGTTTAATAAATCGTGTAGTATATCGTATTTGTCGTACGTTGAAAGTTATTTAATATTCCACAGCATGCGAATGAAATGACAGATTCATAATAAAGTAATTAAAAAAATAAAACCGGCGGAAGGCATTCAGTTCTCGATACTTATGGTGTGCAATGTATTTGTGAAAACAATTGTTGTGTTTGCATATTAAGAAACCAATCCTTCCAAATAGCCTTTAGCCAATCTGATGTCCCTTCCCCAACGTGCGAATATTCCCTCCCACTATTGTTCCCGAAGCGCTCACTTTTCTATAAAACCATGCAGAAACTCCAATTTCATTATTACTTTTTACACGTTTTTCCGTTTTCGTCTTATGAGCTTTGACAGACGTTCGGTATCTCTTAAAAAAGGTGTAGTGTTCTCTGTTCCAACTCGTCATCTAACATGCATCTTAACGAACTTGTTGTGACAAATTAAAAGCAGTTGAGAAAAAAAAAAAATTTATGAGGAAAGTATGATCACGAAAACTAACATCTTTGTGTCTGTTATGAAAATCATCGTGGAAAATACAACGATTTTAGTTATCTCAAATAAGAAAGGGAAAACTTTTTGAATTTGGCAGTGCTGACTTTCGATTAATTAAGAAAGAAAGAGAGAGAGGAAAGAAAAAAAAAAATAGCAGATATGTTTAGAAAATGGTGGCTTCGGAGTCTATTTTTATCGCTGTTTCTTTTTCGTACAATTCACGGTTCAACGATTTCGAAGAGAAGTAATAACGATGATCTTACACGTAAGTTCACAACGAGATAACAGAGTCCTAAGGTTTTATTTATTGATCAATCCTACGTAAATTCTAATATTATGTTAATGTTGGATAAGCGAGTATTATGATAGGTGTATGTATATATACATTTTCATATAGCTTAGATAAATATGTTTCAAAAATTTAGTTATAATTTGTCATCGAAAACTGCTACCTGGCAAGAAAATGACGGGATTGTTCATTGAGCGCGTCGTCAATTGTGAAAATCTGCAGGATTGTTGTCGAGCATGTGATTACGAAAAGGCTTTTGCGTGTAAAGGTTTTAATCACAGGTATGTGAAGATATGTACATAATATACTACCGTTTTGAAGTATCCAGATACTTATATCATTTTTTACAAGACTGTAATAATATTTATAATATAATAACATTTTTTAATGATCGTTTTATTAATTAAAGATCGTTAATATTATATGATTGTATTTTATAATATAATAATATTTTTTAAACATAACTGTAATTAATATTTTAAATACGACTGTAATTATTATAGTCATGCAATCAATAGTATGTGGAATGAATTTTTTTTAACTAAGTACAGATTTATAAATAGATGATTTCATAGGAAATCAAAAGGATTGTTACATATAATTATTAATAGTGTACATGTGCTTTGTAATACAACAAAAAGTTATATTGCAAATTCAGATAAATTCATATTCAAATAATTGGATATTTAATAGAATATTTTTATTCGTTATATCTTTTGCTCTAATATGATTTTGCTCAATTCTAAATACAGTCATAATAAATGTAGTTTTCAAATTATGACAATTGATCGAATATTAATCTCGTTATTCCAATACAAGTCGACCAATATAGATTATAATATTATTTTATTCAAAGACGAAGAACCGATGATTCGAAATGCACGTGCGAATTAACGTCAACGCCGCATTTCCGACTGGATATCGACGAAGATTTTTCGAGTGATTCTTATTACGATTATTACGAAAAGATTGAAAATTGCCCTTCGCCGGGGTGGCGTGATAACAGCATACCACGTTGGAAAAGTTATATCAAAAATTCGAGAGAACACAGTCAAAACACATGGCTGGATCGTGACAGTGTGAATAAAGATTTCCTAGACACAGATCATTCGATTTACAAAGATAACTATCCACTAAATCGTGACCCAACTTATGATTTTTCTAATGGCCTCACACGACCTGGCAAACCATCTCATTACGACGACCCTCATGGTAAATAATAATATGTCTAACAAATATAGTAAATATCACAAAATCTGTTTTATACTTCATAGGTTTTGTGCCTCGTTACCACGATATAAATTGGAATCGTAATTGGAAAGGCTCAGAAACTCGTTATCCCGATATCGTTAATGACAATGTCTTCCCCAACTCTCGTATTAATTACAATAAAGAACATTTCGATGTAAAATCGCCAAGTTTCTCCAATTCACGATTGGAGGATCATTCTCTGACACACGAATATCCCATCCCTAACGAGAACGAGCAATTTTATGGAAAATTCTACAATTATGGCGGTGCGTTCGGCTATAATGATAATCACGTGTCCATTCCAAAACAACCGTATTACGAAAAACACGAGACGTCGCAAATGACAAGAAAATGTTCAGTGAAAGCCGCCTCAGGTTCAAAATTAAGCAGAAGCATCTTACGAAAGACCTGTGTGGCACATGATTTTGAACAATGCGAAGAGTTTTGTACCAATGAAACGAGTTTCTCTTGCGAAAGCTTTGCTTACAGGTGAGCGAAAGAAAATAAGAATTTTTGCTGCCTAATTAGTAAAGTCGGGGGAACTTTTTATTCGAGATAAGATTAACAGGCAAAAAAGAAAATCTTGTTCGATGAATATATTATTTTTAAATACTTTCCCAAATAATCTATTACTGTCACATTATTTTCACAATTTATGTTTTTAGACAGCAAATATTCTTATTATTTATTTGCCCAATAAGATCTTCTTTTCTATCTGTTAATTTCATTTTAAATTAAATTAAAGATTAACTCTGACAATTAGAAACTCTTACTTTTTACTTTAAGCGAACACTTAAAAATTCTTCTGTTACTTTTTTTATGTTTCTTACATATTTTTATTATTCTTATCATTCTTCTTTCTATTTTTTAATATGTACAAATAATTCATTCGTCAAATACTTGATTACGTAAAACAATAAAGGAAAATAAATAATTTATTCATCGTTATCTGAAATAAAATTTCAATCCTAAAATTTTCTATGACAAGGCAGCCGCTTGAGATGTTCACCTACTCTTGTCATTAAAACATTAAAATTCAACAACTCCATCGTAGTTGAACATCAGCGTCCTCATTCTCACCAGAGAACGTCAAGGACACCTCTCGAATTATGTTATGTTATTAATTTTATTCTACGTGCTTGCACAGATCCAGCGTGTTAACCACAAATCCTACCGATAATTGTTTACTAAGCGATCGTCCCTATCAAGATTTAAATTTCTACACTGATCTCGAACCAAATCGCGATTATGACATCTACGTACTAACACCAGATGCTAAGAACTGCTACTTGAAGAAACCAACAAGTCGATATCCCTCGGAAGAATGTTTCTCGAGGATAAGAAGTGGATTTACCATGCCGGTGGATATCACGAGGAGATCGACATTTGTTAATGATTTCGGAGAGTGTCAACTTGCATGCACAACGTCGCATGAATTTATCTGTAGAAGTTTCGTTTTCAAATATGCGATGGATCATCACAGAGGGTACAATCACGAGCGTGTCTCACCTAATTGTTTCTTGAGCGACTGGCCGGCAGAAGAAATAAATCCTATCGATATGCCAGATATGGATGGTGCTGAATTGTACGAAAGGAACACGTTATCTCGCGGCTGCGAAATGTATCCTCCGTCCCTATCGAATCCAAACGTGATTGCTCCGTACGAGAAAGAACCTTCTCTGTCGCACATGGACGAACTTTGCTACTCTGAATATCACAGACCATGCAAATTAATGTCACACGCAGTAGTTTCATCGATGCGAGCTATCACGAAGCAAGATTGCCGACGAAAATGTTCGACGATGAGGAACACCGGTGTGATACCTTGTATGTCGTTTAATTACATGTGAGTAGTTTATTTTCGGTGAGTATTTATATGTAGACTGCGGATGTTTATGCATTCAAGGAAAATTTTAAAATATTCACTTTGCTTGAAGTTTATTCGAAAGGAACATCCTTTACTTTTTAGATGTTTGTGAAATAAACTTCTCTACACATTTTTTTAAAAAAGGAAAAATATAATTATGACTTTCGTTTTTAAATATAGTTGATTAAAATCTTAGTACTATAAAAAATATTGTATAATTTCTATTTTCTGTTTTCTTTTCTTAAAATATCAATTTTTGAGAGCATAGATTTCTGCAATCTTTTACCAAACAGAATTTCAAAAATATATAAATATATTCTATATTTCTGACTTGGTTTTTCATAAGGCTAAATTGTGCAATAATTGTAAAAACGCCCTAATATAATAAAATATCCAAATTATAATAATATTGTGTAGATGATATAAATGTTTGATTGGATTTCATTTGTTGAATTCCATGCCCATCCAAAAATAGAAATTTGCATAAACATCCGCAGTCTATCAGTACATGTCTGATACTGTAAAAGTATCATATAATGATAATTAATTTCATTCACAGCACTCCTATCGATGATACACGGAATAATTGTTTTTTAAGCGAAATATCAATGCGAGATCTAAGACCAAATCTGGACTACGTTCATGATAACGATCACGCGTTATATGCATGGAAAGATTTTGATCCGTATTGTGGTTTAATTGCTAATGCTTTCAATACGACAAATGCACCAACGTTTGATAATCATGATCAACTACATCCTCCTACGTTTGATTATGCAAACGCTCAAAGAACACCCGAGAGCGAAACACATCCTCATGAGCCAACTTTCTATCCTTCCACTCGATGGAGAAATAAATTTCGATCCGATGATCATGAACACGATTACAAACATAAGTTTGTTAATGGAGATAACAGACAACCTCCTTTTGAGCCGGGTACTTTCGAACATGGACTAAATATCTTCCACTGTTAGTAAGAAAAAAAAAAATTATTAATTCTATAGAATAGAGCGCACCTTGTTAATTTCGATGAGCTTTATGTTATCAAAGTATGATATCAAGATACATACATACATACATACATACATATACACACGTACATACCTCATATATATATATATATATATATATATATATATATATATATATATATATATATATATATATATATATATATATATATATATACACATATACATACATATGCAGGCGCAAACATATATGCATACATACGTACAATAGTCAGCTCAGTGTTTTTTATCACAGGCCATTAATTGAAAATTAAAATCTATTCATTTTTTTTCATCAGCAGCAAATCAGTATCCTCCATCTGGACGTTATACGGTAAACGGTTATCCTTGCAAAAATAACACCGTCTGTCAACGAAATGAAATCAATGGATTCTGGTCTTGTGAAATAGAAAACGAATACGGTAGCTGGGATTATTGCTGCGAGCCTAGTCATCAGTGTGGATTTTCACAAGGATATCATTACCCTTGGTACAACTAACATCGATCGAGTTAACGGTTCTATTTAATTAATTAATCGATCTTGCAGGTGTTACGTGGGTCCTAGCGAAGATCAGTGGAGGCCTTGTAGCGAAACATATTATCCGTATCATTTAGCAACAGATCATTCAACATATCGTCAATCTCCATTATACACAGCTCGTCATTGGCCAATAATTTACTTTCACGAAACGTCACCGCCAAATTGTTCTACCAATAATCCTGACGCTAAGGATTCATGGAAACTACAGTAAAAGAGAATCTTTCAATAAAAGAAGAAATCTATTCTCTGCCATTTTTGCATACATGTACAATATTCCTTTTTAAATTATTCTACGATCGCATAAGTGATAACAATTATTTCTTTCCCGAATAAACAATTCGAATAGATATTACGAATACTATACATTTCCATCTAATACAGCAATATAATAATATTTAATTAATAAGTATAATGTTTAATTAATAAATAAGTAATTATGGAATACACAACATGTTTATCTTTGTTAAAATGATATAACAGACTTACAAAAAATTCACGGTACGTCGTTAAATGATTGTCGAATCTGTCCAGATAGATAAGTTTAACCAATTTGAAAGAAAATAACTAAAATGTTTTACATGACTTGAGCGAACACTATTATACATATATAATAATTCTATTATTTTTTTATATTCCGAGTAATATTGTGAACACAATTGGAATTAATTACAAGTCAATTTATCAATAAATTTGAAATTTACTTGACTTAATGTAAACGGATATGTACAAATACTTAGTTGCATAGTAGATATATACATACCATGAATTTACTTCGTTCATCATAGAGGCCACTCGTGTAGCTTGTAGTTGTTGTAACGCATATTTTCATTGTTGTTCTTTTATCCATTATCTTGTTATCATTATGTAATTGTTATCTAAATCATCATTGTATTATCACTTTCGTCACTGAACTAGCATTTAATGTACAGCGCTGTGCATCATTGCTATTATTTTCATTATGGCGGCGTCACCGGCGTCGCCATGTCGCCATCATAGTTCATTTTTGAGTCGATCGGTACAATCACACAGGAAGAGTTCTATGAACAGGAAAATCAACAACGATTCACCGATTATTTGAATACGAAACCGATTTTAGTTCAAAAAATTGTGACTCTATTGTTAATGTCGCTGGCAGAGGACAGACAACAATATACAGTGGAATTTTACTTGAGTTAAATGTATGTTACTTTCTGTAGACAGCTTCGTACACTGTTGAGAGATTGTTCATATCAGAAAAATGCCCAAAACTCGGCTAGTTACGCGTTCAGTAACGAACAGTCGTCCACCTCATATGACTTTAAATCTAGAGTGTTCAGAAGAGCCTCTCAGCAAAGCACAGTTAGTATTACGATTGGAGCTCAAAGAAAATTATGACAGAGTATGTATTATTTTGTATTCTTTCGAAATCCTTTTGTGACATTTAACTGCACATGATGGAATTAAGATTTCACTTAATTTGTTTATTTGTGCATCTTCAGGTGGCTGCTACTCTAGAGGAATTGGTTAAAGACCATGGAGGTAAATTGGTATGCCAAGCAGGCAATGTCAACGGTTATCAATACACATTGTAGGTATTATTTTCTACATAGATGTTATCTTTTTGCAATTGCTGATTTTTAGCAAACTCAGTGTTTGTATCTTCTCGTATACCAGGCCTTCAAATTCTGCACAAGCTCCAGTTAAAAGTAATTCTCAACCTATTGTAAATGTAGTAAGTATTGTGGATATTACAAATAATGTGTATACTATGCAATTAATGTTGTCATGTTTTTAAAAAAGTGATGTTGGTTACAGAATCAAAATAAGAATAAACCTATTAAATTGAATGTAGTAAATAATGCAAATGGATCCCAGGGTAACATACAACTGGTTGTGGATTCTCGAATGGGAGTTATTCTTGGACCTGTTGCTCAACCTCAAGGTAAAAAATGTATGATTATTTTTCCATTTACTTATGATTACTTGTTATGTATTTGTATTAATTGTTTAATAGTAACATATAATAAATTTTATAGGCTCTGCTATGACAAATGTTTCATCAAATTCAGTCTCTACTTCAGCTACGCCAGGTTCAACATCTACAGTTTCAACTATATCTACCACTTCACACTCTCAGGCGGAAAATGTATAAAGTTTTTTCATCTTTTTATAAAACTCTAAGAAAGCTTACATTTTTCCATTGTTTATTTTTCTTTCAGTATAAATACACTCGTTCTGGACGCAGAACAAAAGTGCTTCAAGTACAACAATCTGACATAATAGAGGAAGTATGTTACGCGTAAATATCGTTTCACTTAAAGTTTTTTTGTTCTTTTTGTTGAACTGATCCCATCTTACTCTATATAGCCTACATTAATCCCTCGTGGAAGACAGAAATTGGGATCCTCGACACATGTTGTTACACCAAGTAAGTTCTATCTGATCACTTTTAAATATATGTTCGATAGTGACAACATAGGTTAGCAATATATATATATATATATGTGTGTTTATTTAAATTGAATTCAATATTTTAGCTACAACCAGCCCACAAGGTGTTACCAATCTCAGAATAAAAACAGTAAGTAAACAACAGATTACATCAACGGTGTCGTCAACATCGGCAACCATAAATACGACTACAGGAACGATACCGCCAACGGTAACGGTGACGGCAACGGCAACAAGACTGGCTATTACAAAACCAACTGAGCATACAAGTATTGGTGGAATATCGATTGGAAGTAAAAATTCAGGTTAGAAGAAGAATCTATCCGGGATTAAACGCATTATGATTGTCATGTTGACAATTGGCCGGGAGGTCGAATACTTAGCGCTAGAGATACATAAATTCTTTGTAGTCATTGTAATCAAATAGGAGTTTTCGGCTTTAATTCCAATAACCTTTCAATTTAGCTTGCGACCAAATTGACGAATCGAAGAAGAATCTTCCAGATGGAAGGGAAGTAACTTTTAACAAAATAAACGGAGGCAGAACATTTCCTTCGTTGGTCGTCGTACCTAGACCAAATCTTCGTACAAAGGATATCGCGCCACAAATAGCTCAAAAAGAAAGATCGGAGTTAGGTACCTATTAACATGGGTGTGATTATCGGTTACCACCCTTTTCTTTATATAAATTATTAATGTGTACGTTTCAGATATGAAAGTCAAGAGCGTACTCATGTTCTCGGCTACAAAGTTCGCTGAATGGTTGATACAGCAGGGGTTGGTAAAGTCTGAACAGTATTGCATGCAACATAGTAATAATTATCAAAGGACTAAGTTGAAATTAGGAATGTATAGTGATCAAGGTACATTTCCATATTCGGGAGGATACGTTTGGATTTCAAGTTGTTGTCCAGATCGTTTTGTTTCCGTGTTTTCCGGCTCAATTTTCCAGGGTGCTGCTTACACACCTACCGTTCTTTTAAAATTAATTTATCATTGGGCATGCCAGACAAACGTTCAAAATGTTGTCTCTTGGGTGAAAGTATCTAATTTATATGTAAAAAATTTTTATACGCATTTACGTAGTGTTTGTACTGCCGCAATTTGGGATAAAACTCGTAAAATGGGAGGTAAAAACTTCGTGATACAAATTGGTGTAATTAGTTTGGGCACAACGTCGCAGGACGGAAACTTACGACAAGTCAAAGTCGAAGTGCTTGGTGTATTAGATTATACCACGCTTGATTTAAGATTAAGAGCATGCGATCCAGTGCAGGATGGTGATAGGGCATACAAGCGACGATTCAATAATATTTTACAACCACTGAAAGAATGGGTGCACACCGATTCGAAAATCATGACTGACTTTTCCGTTGATAAAAGCACGCTTGAAGAAATGGGTTTTAATAATGTAATACAATCAGCGTTTTCTGAACAAAATCCTCGAAATTTCATGAGCAATTATCACATTATGGAGTATTTAAGGAAAATTGTCCCAAGAATGTTTCAAAATACTCTTAGTTTGCTTAGTAAACAAATGATACAACAATTTTTGGACGAATTAGTATGGAGAGAAATGTACGGAGCGACTGCCGCCCGAGCATTTGATAACATTATCGGACATATCGCAGAACAAACTAGAATCGAATTAAACGAAAGTCTCTTGGATCGTTTGGCTAGGATAGCTGCTAATCCTTTTCATAACTGGTCTTATTCAAATGCGAATTCGTCACCGCTCAGGACACTGAATAAAGAAGAAATCTTTTCGGACTGCAAAGTTCTGATTCCAGGTAGTAGCAACATGAAACAGCAACAAGAAACGTTACCATCCGTTCAAATAACAAAACCTGGCCCGAGGAGAGGACGAAAGAGAAATCCAACAACAACGATTAGCCCAGAACCCGAATTGAAAAAAGCTCACTACGAATCAAAAAGTACCAGGGAGAAAGATAAAGAAAGTAAAACCGATCAGATACAATTGCAGCAATTTTATTATGCTACTATGGAAGGCGACAAAACTCTTCTTATAAAGGAACATAAAAGTTCCTTATATTTTAAATGCTTTCTGTGTGCAACAATATTGCGTTCAAATACAGATGTAATGGAACACACTATTGGTCATGTACCACCACAAGTACCTGGACAATCACATTCTCCAGTGTGCCGATACTGTTGTACAGCATTTTCATCTCAACACCAGATGGTTACACACGTTACAGAATCACACAGCAACTTTGGCCACTCTGACAGTGATATGGTTGTTTGCGCCATTTGTGAACAAAAATTCGGTAACAGTGGTCTTCTAATTAATCACTTGTCATCAATGCACTGTCCCTCGGAGATGCCTTACCAATGCGAAACTTGTGGTTATCGTACTTCCAGTCATAAAGACGCTATTGATCATTATTATCGTGTTCACGAAAAGGGTGAGGGATTACAATGTCCTTATTGTTTGAAAATAATAAATTTCGTAAGAGAAAGTAATCCCAACGTTACCAGTGTTCATGCATATTTGTTACATATGCAAAGACACGTTATCAGAAGGGAACAAGGACGAGGAAATAAATGTTCCAGATGTTGTCTTTGGTTCAATCAGAAAAGTTCATTGAAAATTCATCAAAGGGAACTGCATGATTCTGTATCCAATTCAAAGGTTATTCCTTATTCAACTGGTAGTAATGGAATAATGATTCCAAAACAGCGATTTCAAACTAGACGGTTTGAAATTGATAGTCCAGTTACAGAATTACCACGCGATGAGAGAGTTAAAAAATGGGTCACTGGTCCAATTACAGTGAATGTTTCAATTGAACATCTATCCTGTAAAGAATGCGAAGAAGATATAGATGAGCAAAATCATTATCCAGGTGAACAAATATGTCAACAATGTCGTTACATAACTTGTTGTTGGCGTGCGTTTAAAGAACATCAACAACAAATTCATAATGAACGACCTATGACCAGTTTGGTAGTTCCTTCTCCTCTCATTAATATTCCATTAGATAAAAAGATGCAATGTTCATGTGGTTATGCGACAACCGACGGAAATCAATTAGCTACACATTTGATTAAATGTAAAAAAGTATCTGTCTATCCAATTGAAGATACAGCACCGTCCGGAATGTTAAACAGTTTGGGTCTGGTACCAAAAAATAGCTCAGATGAAATTGAAGACGCCAAAAGGACTAATTTACGTTGATGAAGTGAAGTACAAGTTTTTGAATGCGTTAGACATCGTGAATGATAAATTGTGTAATTGTTTAGAAAATTAGAATGATTTGAAATATCGGAAGAAACAGTAAGTTACATTTGTATAATTACGATAGATAACTTAATTCGGCAAGAATGTTATAATAGAATGGGAGTAAATCTTATAAACCGAACCGACTGTTTGTATCATCGAACATTTGTTTTTAATTTTTATTGCCTATTTTCGCATTGTCCATACGCATAATATACGATGTACAATCACAAATAAAATTTTCATTCATCATATTATTAGTGAAGATTTTTAATAAATGTATAATTTAAATAATTAAATCATCAACACTATATGCACGCTACGTCGTTTGAAAATATTGCGATAATAATATATTAATATTCTTCTAAAAAAATTATGTTGTATGGATATTATTGATATGTTTATATTGCTGAGTTGTACCTTTATATGAAATAATAATAAATCGTTATTGCATGAAAAGATACTACTAGTTTGAAACATGTATCTAAGTAATTATGTATGTATTTAAGTAAGTACAATAGTTTACAACTCAAAACTTATCGTTGTAACTGTCTGGAAAGACATATTAGGAACTTATTCCTCCAACTTTCTAGACTTTCAATAGGTTTTGAGATAGAGTGAAAAACATTTAATGCGTGTAAGATACAAAGAAAAGGAAATATACAATTTGATATCTGTAAATACATATTTAATGTGATTCAAGATTCGAAGTAATCATATGAAGTCATAATACAAAATTGCTGATAGGGATATGGAATTTTTTTTAAAAATTTTACTGTTATGTGCGTGTGTGTGCATATAAAAGTATAGATACAGTATAACATTGGATAAATGCTCGAAAATCGGGACCCAAAGCGGGTGCTCACATTAATTGTGTTCGAATGTAAAAAAGAACAAAGCGAATGAAATTGATGATACAATACTAATGCAACAATAAAACTTTTTTATTTTTAATTTTTATTTAATAAAACTTCTACCAATGTAACCGTGAGACTTCCCTAATTAAAACAAGACTAAGCATGAAATAATGTAGACTATATTTGCTTCTTTTATTTCACATACAGCTAAAACTTCAACTTAAACAAAAATTTCACAGGTACGTCCATCCAGTAAAGGTTTAATTTTGAAAAATCTAAAAATAAAAAAGTTTCATCATTGAATTAGTGTCGTTTCATTATACATCATATACATCAAGTTAACATTACTCGACCGATTCGCTTCGCGATGTATTAAATTGCGAGTACTTACGAAGAGGTAGGCCACTAATTGTAAGTATTTATCCAAAGTTTACTGTATATGTATATATAAAAGTTAATTCTTCCTTCAATTCATCATTTTGATATAGAATAAAGTACAAAATTTATGTATTTTTCTAAAGTTTTATTTAGCAAGAGTGTTTTCGGTAATTTCACAATAATAAATGTAGCATACATTTCAACTGTATCAATACAGTATACAATACTAGTTAATAGAACGCGGAGAGTTTTATTCTCAATTGAAAAGACCGAGGTGAATTGAAAACTATTTGCGTTAACATATAATAATTCATTATTCTGTACTTATCTATATTCCTAGCAAGCTATTAACACTTTTTTTTTTTGTCATTTAACTGTCATCCAGTCAACACTAAAGAACGCATTTACTAAAACAAACTCTGCAATGTTAATTGATCTGGACCGTTCCTTTAATATGAAAGATTATAATTATAATCATAATTATCATTAGACATTACTTGTGTCTAAACATAATAAACTAAAAAAATATCGACAGTTACAGTTTATAACGACTGCTACCAGTGTATAATTGATTCTTTAAGTATGTACGTAAATGTTTGCGGATTTTATTAATAATGATATTAAAGTTTCATGAATCGTATCACAAGTTGATGCTTTAACTAATCTTTATTAAAAATGTAATGGATTGTATACATCGAGTAAAAAATACAAGTTGAACAAAAAGTAATTATTTAAAACAAGTAAACACTGATCGCATCATTATAATACGTGTATAATATTTGTATGTAGAATGTGTATATAATAATACTTATAAAATGATTAAAAAGATGTATAATAATACAGAATAAACCGCGGTAAAACCCAAATTGATACAATTAACATTGAGATTTATTAGTAGTAAATTTCTTGTATAATTTGACGTTTCATAGGTTTTTATAATTTTTAAACCTTGATACCGTCAAATTTTTTACGTGGGGAGCATCGTCAGCTGTTTACATGCTCTTAACACTGTATTCAAGAGAATGAATCGACATTTCCGCCCACAGCCTGTTATGTTGGCGATCTACATATACCCGACTATCAGTTTCGGTTTGCTCTTTATTTTTTCGTATCTCTCCGTATATCTTCAAGTGTCTCTTTTTCTCTCTCACACACACTCATTTTCTCCATTTCTCTTTATATATATATATATATATGCACGTACGTATACATATAGATATTTCCCTTAAATTTAACGCCAAGGTTTATAGTACTGAAAATGTTACTTCTGAGATATTTTACATACTTTACATCTTCCAAATTTGTCAACTTTTAATATAATAATTTATTTTACGATCATAGCAAGCTGAAGATCAAACTTTTGAGTTTCAATATATATAACATTTAAATTTATGATTTTTCTTAGTAATATAAATATAACGTAGACCAACAAAGAAATTAGAAAGAAAAAGATAACTTTATCTATTGTTCAGGGCCCTCGGATTGTAATTTTTTTTTTTCATGCCGATGATTGAAGAATTTTCCATTCGTGCGTTTGCCCCTGTAATTGAGAAAAAGGCAAAAAAGAAAAAGAATAAAAAAAATGATAAAAGTTAGTTGCAAAATAACAAAACATTGGAAAAAAATCGACAAGAAAATCGATTATATGGTAATCTTTGTGCGAAAACAAAAATAAAAAAAAAAAATACCTGTGCGTTAAATTTGAAAGAGAAGTCGAGCTTCTGGTTGATTACTCGATGACATAGAGCATGTAGAGATTGCCAGCATCACTGCCTGGTGGTACCAAGGAGTGAGTCGGCGGTAGAACACTGAAGCCCAAAAACATGAAGGTACGAACCAGCATTGCTAGACCATAACAACAAAGTGTTTTAGACGAAAAATCTTTCTCCTTGTAATCATTTTCATTGGACTCAAAGAACGGTTGACGACAAGTACCTCGATCCGTTCTGTCTTTACGCAGACAAATGATGATATTTTTACATCGCAATGTTTCTTCGGCGTATTCCAGGAGAGACACGAAACCTTCTTTTGAACCTTCTGGTAAAAGGCAGCTTGGCACGCGAATGTAGAGACAACGACGCCATACGACTGTTTCCCACTCGACGGATGTACTCTCCGTCAAATGCAAAGTAAATGTCAAGCGTAATGATTCGCTATTTCGCACAGCTTTTAATAATTCATCCTCCTAGAAACACAGAATTATATATATAGAATTTGCAACTATAATTATTTATAATTAACATTACAACGACATTATAAAAACTACTTTACGGTCTTTTATATTTAATTCAATATTATAGAATAACACGTAGAAAAAAAATTAAATTCGTCGAACATAATAATCGCAAGTACGTACTTGTACAGTATGGGAGCTCACAGAGAGCTGACTCTGCTTAATCCCCACGCCGCGGCTCTCTGTGTTGACTGTAGATACAGACAATGCGGCATGGGGCACATCAGGACCACCACAGAGGCCCCACGCCCAACGTTATACAATAATGTTGTTGAAGTCTAGATCCTTCTTCTAAACTTTCATCCATACACTTGCTTGACACATCACTGTAATTCCATTTTATTAATTAATATCTTACGTCCATAAAGTTAACATTAGTTACAAAGCTTTGTTTATTAAATCTTATCGCTTGCAAGATTTAATTATAACTCTTCTTCAATATAATTTTACTACAATAATCTAATCGAACTAAATATACTTTCAAGTATATTATTTCTTTCCGCGCGTGTTTTTTATCTCATAACGTTTTGGAAAGATAAAAATCGTTTCTTGGAATCTCGTACATGCTACGCACATGCATGAACGTACGATGTTTTTAGATGATGGAATAAAAATAATAAAAACAATTAGTACAAAAGTAACGAATGTATTATAAAATAATTAATTAAACAAAGGTGACAAAAGAATGATTGATATTAGTGATAGAAGAATACTTTTACATAGAGATGACATCATAGAAATTTCTCGATTTTAAAGATATGATCAAGCTCGTACATGCTTGCAAATTTATTGAAGATAAGTTATCAACAAGTATCTACGCAATCAAATTTATCTGCGCAATTGTGAAACGAGGAGAGAGGAAGGAAGAAGCATGATAAAATCACATCGTGGATATTTTTGTTTAGATCTGTAATTACACAAAAACTTTATATATGTACATATTCATAAAGATTCGAAGAGATGCATTTCGTTTCTTTATTCAATTCTGATACGACTATTGGCTATCTTTTACATGGATACGTAAAACAATGATGCAATAGTCATTTCAAAGAAACGAATAATTTCACGTTAATTTTCTCATGGGTAAAATGAAAAATCAACTATTATATATTTTATTAACACCGTTGAAGCAAAATTGTTTTGACAACGATTCTCTCTTCACAACCAGCGATTCAATATCGGAGATTATATCGCGAATTTATTCCACACGTGCCAACTTGTTATTCGATGTACAATGAGAATTATGTAAGAAATCTCTAGGGTTTAACTATATATTACACATATACAGCTAACGTACGATTATTTTCGCTTCAATCTAACAATTTGTACCAAGTATTTACGACACTGCCAATCGGTAAAAATTGTTCTAATATCAATGCATTCTTTTTCATTCTAACGAAAAGAGGAATTTGTTTTGTTTGAAACAGAGATTTAAATTGTAACATCCATTAGATTTTTTTATGCTTTATACGTATATATAGTGAAAACAGCTGACGCATACAATGCATCGACGCATTCACGTCGATTCTACGTCGCGTATAATGGATATTCACGATTCACGTGGCAGAATATTTATATATCACGGAAACATTATCAGATGCATTAAAATATTCATTATTTCATTTTTGCTTCATTATATTCGATTATCTTAAATTTTATATCTTGTCTTATACTTCTGCCGTATCAATTTAATCCACGATATTATATCTGCTTAATGTATGTATATTGTTTATAAATATTTTCAACATCAAAGAGAACGCAACGTTGATCACGAACACGTATCTGATTTTTCCTATTGTCAAGGTAAACGATAGAGTTAAAAGGTAATGCGAATTATCGATTTCATCTTTTCGAAATATTTCGAAATATTCGAATATTCATTCGCGAAAGAAAATAATTATACTATGAACAGACATTGGTTTCGTGAAAAACGCCTGTTGAAGGAAAATAGAAATGAAAACACAAATTTCAACAAATAGAATATAAGATGGCGACGACGAACTAAAGGCAGAAATGACGCAGTAGTCGCACTTACCAATGACTGGATATTAAACTTGGCATTATTATGCCCTTTTTAGTACTTTCACAATTACTTAATGGTAAACTGGAATTAATATTCATACTTCTTTCTTCGTAAAATTTTGACGGCTGTTATATGACTTTTACACAACAAAATATTCGCTAGGCCAGCGATTACTGTCCGATAAGAATTAGCCTAGAAACACCAACACACCAAGGCAGCCGCCTACTCAGGAGAATGAAACGAGACCGAAGCGCTCCTTCTTATATGTCGATTGTATACAATCCGTTTCGATTCGATATGTATCGATTCGATTAAATCGATTTCATTTTTCACTAGAATGTTCATAATAAATTCTAATAAACATTCAAAGCAATGTTAACATTTTTACTCATTAATATTGACTTATATTTACGACATTGAAGGAAAAAACCAATTAATTATTTAAAAAAAAGAACTAAAATTACCTCTCTTAGTTTTTCAGAAATAACATGCCTATAGAGGAATTTGAAAAAAAAACACAAGTTACTTTTTACTTCAGATAAACAAATGAAGATTATTTGAATTTTGACTTTGAGTTTCACTTTTAACAAATTTTATTTCCATAAGTACACAATTTATTTCATAAGTAACACTTCTAAAAATAACAGGGATTTGTAAAATCCAAATAGTTTGTTTATGTGTAAAACTAATGATAATTGCTATTAAAGATAATTACTTAAATACATAAATTAAAAAATTTATAAGATGACTGAAGATCATTAAATTTTATTTAAAGTTTTTAGTTTCAATTTTGAATATTCCTTTTCATGAATTTTTCACATCAAGGCACAATATACTCATTATACTATATAAACAAGTAGAAGGAGATTAATGTTATTCTACCCTTCTGATAAAAGCATCATATTGGGATATCTATTATACATAACCTTAAATAGTATCGAATAGTAACAAAATACAAATAAATCAAAAAAATTAAATGCTTGTAAAATATTTTATGACAGATACAAATTTTTCTGATTGGTAATTATTTGTATCTAATAAAATGGAAATTTAACCACACATCACTTGTCGAACAAAATCTTCATAATTAATGTTACCCTGTGAATCTTCATGACCAGCCAGTAAAGTTTCAACTTCTTCATCACTGAGTTTTTCACCTATCAAAAAAATGCAAGTAATTAGTCTGTAAATACAACTATACATTAAATAATTACTAAAAGAGAGCGTTAAAAGATTATACATACCCAACGTAGTTAGAAGATGTCTCAATTCAGCAGAAGAAATGAAACCATTTCCATCTTTGTCAAAGTGACGTAACCCTTCTATAAAATCATCAGCAGTATCAGACGTACGAGATTTACTTATAGCTTGATAAATTGGTAGAAACACTTCAAAACTAATGCGTTCATCAGGTTTGTGTTGATGGGTAAATTTCTTGACATCTGATTCAGTTGGATTTTGCCCTAGAGCACGCAATGCATCACCAATCTGAGCTACATGAATCTTCCCATCTCCTCGACTGTCAAATAGTTGAAATGCTTCTTGAAATTCTGTTACATCAAAAAAAAGATAAAAATAATCATTACAAAATCATACTTTGTACAAATATGCGTAAATGAGTTAGAAAGTATTAATTTTAGTCTAAAATGCGATAATTGTTATGAACAATACATTTATTTACCCTCAATTGATGACATCATTCTGTTTGTTAGCTCTTGGTAACTACAACCGTACATTGTGTAGTTTAAATATGTATTTACATATATTCAAGTTATATTAAATGATCAGATTTCACCTTTTAAAAGATAAAGCAACGAATAATGGTAATTACAATATGTGTAAAATTTTAAAAAATATATTGTATTCTTATATTAGAAAGGTAATAATACAAACTATCAATAAATCTTGAAGTTTGTAGCACAATATATGTATATATATATATATATCTATATAAATGTATATTGCCTATCACACAAATGTAACAACAAAACTATATTCAGAAAACGAATTAAAACTGAATATAAAGGTTCTACGATCGTTACGATGCAATGCTATTCGTGTTCTGTCATCGTTTCTTCTTTTCTGCTGCTATTTCTTTCAGATACATAACCATAAAAGGAAATCAACGACACGTAATTCGATGTCATCAGGGTGGGTCTAATAAGGTAAAGGATATTCTTGACCTAAATTGAACATCGAGAACCATCTGTCCGCCCTTCTTTAATCTTATTCTGTTTGATGTCAATGATCTCATTCGCATTTACTTACCTGCTAATTGATCCTCCGAATAAGATGCCTGAAAATATGTATAATACATAAATACGTATCTTTTATTGCCACTATTCTCTAAATATATTTTGAAATATTTCAACAGAATAACACGAAACAAATCAAAGAAAATACATAAAAATACAAACCATTTTGATTAACTATCGTGCCTGACACGCAATACGTATCTTTTTACCGCGAACGTATATATGTATATGCCAGTTGGACAACGAGCGCCTCGATCGTACCAAGTTTTTCAACACAGTAGTGTTCAGAGAATTTATGTAGTCATTGGTTTTATTGCAATGAGACCGAAGTACATGAAATCAAAGCTGGATTATTTAAAAATTGTATATAAAATTCTGACATATAATAAATTCTAAGAAATGTTTGGTAAAAATGACTGTTAAAACAAAATATTTAAAAGTAAAAAATAAACAAAAATAAAAATGAAATTCGAAGAATTACATTATTTTACACGGAAATTGTGACATCAATTTGTTATGAGTAACCTCGATTGAGAAATTATCTGTGTTTTTTCTTGATGGTTGAAACATATACACATATAAACATATTTAAATGATTAATAATCTATTCATATATATATATGTATATGAAAATTTCAAGTAGGATCATGATTTCTAACCTTAATGTGCATATTATGAATCGAATAATAGTTTCGCTTTTTCCTTTTAAAGGTCACTCTATAAGATATTTTGATATATACTGTTTTAATTACTGACTGTTATTATCGTCTTCATTTTTTGGAGTTTATTTTAATACAATACATTTATTCTCAAACATAATCGATATTTCTCTCTGTTGATCTATAGTAATCAAATATATCTAGCAATGTAACATAAAATAACAATGTAACAGGTAAAAGTTACAATCAAGTAATACTATACAAATTGTACTTGTACATGCTATACTTGTGTTTGTGTTTTTGAATATGTGTATAATTTAGAAAAGTGAGCATTGTTTAAAAGAGTAATTACATATAATCCAGTTATTTGTTGATTAAAAGTAACTATATATATGCAAGAGCTCATAAAATATTTGAACACCGTAGCTTTTCATATGTATATTATGTTTCATATAAAATATTTAAAAGTATTATGATATATGTAGATATTGCAAGATATATGCGAGATATTTATTGCCAACATATATTAAATAAATGTTAGTATAATAAATAAATGATTGTTTAATTATTCTTGTTATTTCTGCAAAATACATGTATATTATCCATCCCACTTGTATGGTTCTTTCATACTATGTTTTCAGATTGGTTTTTAATATTGCTACGAAACTTTTTATAGAATTAATAGCATATAAAATAAAAACTTTTTACTATAAAATGCAACTATAAAAGCATTATGTTTAAGTATGTATCTATTTTTATTTATTTACATTTAATAAATTCTATTTGAATTTAATTAAATTAGCGCGCGTAGGAATGCTATTGTAAATATTCGTATACGGTTATATGATTGGTTCATTTTCCTTTTCCATAAATTAGATGAATCTTATTGGTCCATACCTATGAAGCCCCATCCCACGTAACTTGTTGCGCGGAGGGTTAGTCCATTGTCTTAGATCGTGGCGTTAAGACGTATTTTTTCGCGTGTTATTTATAATTATCTGTGTAATATTTTCATCATCATTCCCACACTGCTGTTAACACCATTTAAATAACGTACGTTTCTATTTAAATTTATTAAATTTTATCATAATTTGTAAATAAATTATCTTTTTTTTGATTGTTTTTCGGTTGTCATATTTACCGGTAACTTGTATTGTGAGATTTCAAAAGAATATTTGTCCTTAATCGATTAATATGTTTCATCTCTATACATTTATTTGAAAGTTTTGGGTTTTTTTTAAACAGATTATTGGTTGATTGCGACGAAGTTGGAAAATTAAGGAAGATGACTTGTGATAAATCTGCTGATTTTTATTCATATTAGGTAATGTTTGAGTCATATTAATGAAAGTAGACGTATTTGCACGTTTGTTTTTCCTCTTTGTCGGATAATTAAAAAGATTTCTTTATTATTCAATCATAATCATTGACAATATTCAGAGACAAGTTTAAACAGGTTCTGCGCATCGCACTTTTGGCGTACTGCGCAGCGTTGTTTAACCGACGAAGAAAGCGCCATATTCGATTTATACGAAGAATATTTGAATCTCTAATGATGAATGTACAGAATATTTTTAGATATTACACAATATTAAGAAATATTTTACAGTGTTTAATTAATTTTATTCCTTCGTTTATTATTAAATTAAAATATAAAGTTTCATGTTTTTTCATTTTATATTTCATTACCTCAAATTTTTTTAACAACCATCACTGTGTTTATAATAATTGATATTTTATTAAAGGTTCTACATTCCTTTTTCTTCCTGTTCTGTGAAAAGGACCTAGCACTGCTTCAGGTCAACGATGTAAGTAACTTTGTATTTTGTATTTGACTTGATTTTATTAATTGTTAATTACAAAATAGAGTCTTAAATTGAAAATTTGATTAAATTTTTAATTCTTGAATAGAATATTGTCATTATTGAACTTGCCATTAATAAAGTTAATACCATCTTTGTAAATTAATAAACTTGTCATTAATAAAGTTAATACTATCTTTAAGTATTATTTAGATTATATAATATTTTATATTTTTGTGCTTTTAGACTTCTATAACCACATCGATAACAACATTTTTTGCATCTAATCGTGAGTCGCATGTATTTTTATTCCTCTGGTCACTTAATCATGTCGTAGGATGAAAGATCCGAATCGATACAGGTGACTGGTTATATTATGTAGAACTTTTGACGAGCATAGTGACCACGGGTATTTATTATACCTGTGAGTAATAACATGTTTTATTTATCAGTTCAGGATAGGTTTTCTTGCACATCGCGTTTTTTAATATTAATAATAATGCATTTACAATTAACATGAGTTATTAATGAATAAATAGAATATCAATACTGTTGCAATGATTTTGTTTGAATATTTTCTAGTAGAGAAGTCAGATATTCTTCGATTTCGTTATTATAAATAAACAATATCTATTATAAATCTAATTCTCATATACAATATAATTTCAATAGGAAATATGAAATTTATAGAAGTTCAATTTTATTCGTCATAAAAAGAATTTCATGTGCAAGAAAACACTTCGCGACAGGCAGATTTCAAAATCAAAGCAACGCTTTTGAATGCTAGTTTTGTTTTTCCAAAAATGTGCTTTGATGAAGGAATCGTCTGAGGATATTTCTATAAATGTTTCATTTGCAATTAGAGTCTAGAACTTTATATTACTTTATATTACTTCAGAACTTTATATTACTTACATTGAACAGATTTCATAGTATCTTTTTTAATAAATTCAGTTCTTGTTCATTGTCTTTTTTTTCTTGCAATTTCAGTAATTTCTAAGAGTACAGTTATTAGAGTTTGAAATAAAATGATATACTAGTCCGTTTAGATACATACTATATAAATTAATCATTTTTTTAGTTTAGGATTTTCAGGTTTAATCCCTTCCGTGCTCATTGTCAGGATCTCACTCACGTGCCCAGGTGCTACTTGGATGGGTGAAAGACATTGGGCACGATGACCATAGTTTGTAATTTCATAAAAAATTTCTCAGCGACTGACAATGTGTTAGCGTATCGTGCACGACGTATTTTCCGCATGTGTGTGTGGTTAGGATGTGGAACTGCGTCGTTTCTATTCTATTCCATTCATTATAAGTTGAAATATTTAAAATATTTATGCACTAATTTTAAGTGTGAATTTATTATAACAATACATAGTAAATACAGTATAATTATATTATTAATTATACGTTCAATTATAATAATGACTCCAAGTCAACTTGCACATGTAACTTCTACAGAAATTAATATTTCACATATAACTATAAATACAAACGTGTTTTAATCACGTTTTACGCAATGATAGCTAGCCATTGTCAGTCGATTTCAGGAAAATGGTACGTAAATTAGAGTGTGAATGTTGTGTGCGACACTCGGGTGTCGGAGGCGTCCCGGGATGTCCTCTCTAGTGTAGGCTTTTGCGCCCGAGTGTATGTGTGAGAACCGTGGAGCGAGTGTGTTGGTGTGCTTGTTTTGCCATTTTTTAAATATAGGGCGACTCGTTAGGATAGGTAGCATACTTTCTGGTGTGAATGTGTTTAATTATAAGTAGGTAGGGCCGGGCAGGTTGGCACAGTCTCTGGTCGCGTGTCCCTTTTTCGCGTGTCCAACCTGTTTCAGGAAATCTAATTTGAAAAATCGACAGTGAAATTGGTACAAATTGNGAAAGACTCGAGCTAGATGTAAGTTTCAGCGGGCATTGCGCTCGAAGAAAGAAAAGGCTAGAAGCCGAAGAGGCCCGGCAAACTGCCATAGAAGAGGGCAACTACTAATGGTTATCTATCTTCTGAAGGTGAAAATCCATTCAGAACATAGAAAATCATTTTTGTTACTACTTTGTCACTATGCTCGCTTTTAATATTTGTAGTATGTAGCAGTAGTTATTTTTTCGGCAAAGTATCGTGTCGATCCACCACTATATTGGGCAAATCGCGGTTTTTTATTAGTGTTTCGAAAAATGACGACGCGTTTGCTTTAGTATTGCGAATTATATGATATCGTGATTGTTTTTAAACGCTTGTATTAAAAATTTTAAAGAATGATACTAGAATTTGTCGTTTTTCGTTGTTATTTCATTTAAAATTGAATTTGAAAGATATTGATTTTTAATTAACTTCATAGCCTTGCCATTTGTGACTATCGTGAATAATTGAAGTAGTTTCTTTTTGGACAGATATAATAATTTTTATTAAATTTATTTTAAAAACTAGTGTTGCGATATTTTTAGTGGTTATTTAAATTACTTTTTTTTGTGTTATTTAAATTTGTGTCACATTGATAAATGATCGCGTTTCTTTAAGTAGTGTTGCGTTTATGAAATGCCCAAACTTCTTCCACTGAGAAATTGTGGAAATGTATTCCACAATTCATCTGATGCAGTTAAAAAAGCTGTATAGAGCTTTATATTGAATTTTTGTAATTAATATTAATTTAAATATGAGTGCATAGATCAGTATCTATTTGTATTGTGTAAATAAATATCGTATTATAATTTCAAGAGTTTTCTGTTTAAAAAAATTTTACCAACAATAAGTAAATATGTAAAGCTCTTTTAGTACTTTGCTTTGAAAATTTTCTATATTATAAAATAAAATATTTTTATTTCATATATCTAATTTCAATAAATTAGTGTTGCGAAAAAGAAAAGACATTCCACTCTCGGTTTATTGTTTGGGTTTCATATTGAGTGGATAATGATTATATTTTGGTAGTCCTGGCTATTCATTTACTTTCTTTCTCAGCATCTTTCGTTGCTGTTACTACTTGTTAAAAAAAATATGTTTGTTTCCTTATTTTCATATTACCAGTATCTACAATTATTATGATTTTAGAATGATATACAATTTCAAATTTTATAATGTGAATAGTAAAATAAAAATTTTAGAATCAATATTATTGAGATAACAAGAGGTACCTAAATCCTTGGTATAAAAAAAGTTTTAATTTCGTTTAATTAATTTGGATTTATTTGTTTCAGGAATCCTCAAAGAGTGGAGACACACATCATTCCAGATAAATTTTTAGATTTTCAGTAGACAGCTTAAATTAGATTTTCAATTGAATAAAATTTTTTAAAGTTAGATTTACAGCTAAATAGAATGTACGCTAAAGTTAAACTTATAAATAAAATTTTTGAACTAACATAAAAGTAAGTTATTGATTAATACATTAGTTAATATTGCTTTGAGGTATTTATTTGTGCTTAAAATACTGTATTATAGTATGCTTAAATAAGCATAGTATTTAAGTAGACAAAGTAATGTAAAATAGGTATAAGATTAATTTTAGATAAAGTCGTAAAGTAGATAAAATTTTAGGTAGTTCGTAATTACAGCTTTGTTAGTTAGGAAATTTCTAATTTAACAAAAATCGCTAAATAAATAAACTGGCTCATGAAAATATTTAAACTCTTACCGTAAATACTTTTAGGCTTGGGAAATTATATTCGGAGTAAATATATATACAATTAATATATTTATTAACAGATGTTTACAAAATTCTCACAAATGCAATTGATTTTGTTGATTAAAATTAACAGTAACAACTTCACTTTGTGCGTATTTATAATTTGTTCATTTTATATTATTGTTTCACGTACTTACACGTTCAACGAAGTGCATAGAATTCACTTTCTTAAACTCAAGTGCAAGAAAAAGTCAAATGTCAAATATACATACTATTACGTAGATAAAAGGAAAAAGAGGAAAGAATTTGTTTGACGTATCGTCGTTATATTTTATATCGTAGCTTAACTCTTTATGGCACAAACTATAAATGTGTCCTGAGCCGCACAGAAATTCTATTTTAATAAATTATATAAAAATAGAATTATTTCAATTATTTAAAGACTTTAAATATTTCTATAATTGTAGAATTAATAATTCATAAAGAGAAATTGATTCTAATTTGATCAATCTTAATTTTTGTAAATGTAATTATGATATAATTGGTTTTTAATAGAAATTATAAAAGCCTTAAAAAAATGATAGGTATATTAACGAATAAATTATTATATTCGCAAGACGAGTTAATTCGTCGTTCTTGGTTAACAGGTTAAACATGTGAAATAATACTAGATGATTAAAACTAAAAAAAATAAGAGAGAGTTTCTAACTATACAAACTGAGTGCATCATAACATAGTAATTTTAATTTTTCAGAAAATATCCCACTAGGGCGTCAGGATATTAGAAAAGATATTTTTTAACTATGCTCCATAGAGTTAAATTAAAAAACCATATTCAACTCTTTATAGGTTGCTGCTAAGTATATTTACCACTTATTGCATTGGTCCGTATTACATATAAAAACATACATACAGCAATTCCTTGGTCTAAAAATTCAATGTTTGGTTATTGATATTTTTATTATTATTTGTAAAGTTGGAATGAAACCTCTCATACTTGTAATTTCGTTCAGATTGACTTTTTTTGACAACAATAAAGATAGAAACTTCGTTAATCATTTTCATTACTTTTACTTATGTATGTATAGTATATGGTACGTATTCTTGCCAAAGACCATTGAAATTCAATAAACGATTTCTGATAAATATAACTCACCATTCTCTATCAGATATGCAATCAAGAAAACGTGACGAAATTTTTGAAAAATCATCGTATCAGAAATCAAAAGGATTTAAAGATATTTCAATCTTTTTTCGATTGCTTCATTCACTATACTGTTCTATAAAGGATTAAGCCTGTGGTCGATTCCCATGTAGGAAAGTATATATCGTGTTCCTGAGTGTAACGTTCGGAGTGAACGAAGTATTCTGAAGTGGTTTATTCGTCATTGGACTTGTATATTTTCCACATAGGAACCACTCGTTTATAGCAGCTTTCTCGTATGTAAATCCATCTGTGAATGAAATATTCATTAAAATGCCAAATATTTTCAATGACGATTTTCATTTATATCGCTTACCAGAACATTGGACGGGTTCTTTCATTATTTCATGTGTGATAGGGCATAAGTATTCGTGAGGTATTTCGGTATCGTCTATAGAGATCTCTATAGAGTTACTGTCCTCACGTTTTAACCAGTACAGCTGCGTTTTAAACGCTTCCGCTGTCTAAAATTGATTGTACGGTTATAATGAGCGATAATAATTACAGAGGGGTACATTTCATCGACATTGACCACTACGATATATGTAACGTAGTCAAGAGAAATTTCAAAATTTTTTAATACAAGATTTTTCTAAGATTTTTAAATGGGGATGTATATCGACTTTTTTGACTGTTATCCTTTTAGTATATTTTAAACCAAAGTTAATCTAAATTTGTCTTAAATTATAGAAGTACGATATACACTGCTGGTTATTAGACATTCGTTACAAATCCCCAAAAAATTTTATATTACGAGGCAAATGAAATAATTGAAATGAAACGAGCACGATAGAGAATGAGTTAGTTAAAAAATAATTTCGATTATTCGCGAGATTTTCTGACATACCTCCTCATCTTGTTCTATATCCAACCTGTTTGCTAATTCGTCTTCCGACAGAGAAAGTAATTGTCGTCCCGTTAAAGAAATCGCGTTAGCTTTCTTAATTAACGACGACAAGCCAATCTCGTCCAACCATTTTAACGTATCATCGAACTTCCAGTCCGAAACCTTTTATATTAAAAATTGAGTGCATTAACAACTGGCACGTCTTTTTATTGTCACATGAAGTAGTATTAAATACAGATTTTTATGCAAATTCATACTTTTGAAATGGAATTGAAAAATAGGAACTTCTCTAGAAAATTGTACATACTAACTGTTATAGAAAGCACTATATTCTAAATATTTTATATATTTTTCCATATTACGTGCTTTCTATGTAATTTTGTATTTTTAGATTTTCTACAAATACATAAAAATCCGTAGTCTAATTATGGATACCGTGTATCAAAGACGTACCCTTTTCCTGTTATTCTTTAAATTGTTCATTAGTATATTTTGCGAAATCAGTTGCTGAGGTATTTTCCAAATTAAAACAGTTTTATCCAGAGCACCTACGATCGAAATAAGTTAACAAATAATTGTTAAAAATAAATTAAAGTAGAATGCATTAGATATATATTAATTGATCGAAACCTGTAATAAAGAGTGAAGTGTCTTGTGAAAAAGCGCAGGCAGTTACAAGACTTTCGTGCTGTTCTAACACGTACAAACATACCCCAGAGTACTGTGAAACCACATTTTCTGTTACATCGTGTTACATAATGATCATGCAAATTAATATATCATTCATTTATTGGAAAGTTTCTAGTTTCCTTTTATTCTTTTTATTTTCTTTATTGGCAACGTGTTAATTATAAATCTTTTAAGTTATAATTATTATTAATGTTGGATCAGTGGGGGAAGTAACGTCGTTTTTTTCGAAGTTTACTTATTTATTTATAGAATACTGCAGATGCCTGTTTGAAATTTCAGAAATGCGTAGAATTGCTTAGATGAAATATACTTTTTTTTTTTTCACTAGCTTTGTACACAAACGTTTAGAGTCTTCTTATATAATTAATTAATTAAAATTAGATCTTATATAATTAATTAACTAAAATTTTTTTCACTAGCTTTATACACAAACGTTCAGAGTCTTCTTATATAATTAATTAACTAAAATTAGGTTGATTTTCATATCGACGAAACCGGTATTACTTTCCACCAAACCAACCAAACCAATTGCTACTTGTTGCTAGCGAAAAGTTTATTTATTCGCGGAGGGAAAGGAGAGATATTTACTCACCACACTCCATATACGCGCCGTTCTATCAGTAGCCACGCTCCCCAAGATTTCGCTTTGAATCGGAGAAAATCGGACGCAGGTCACGTTGCCACCATGTCCGGTGAAACATTTTTTTTCTTCGTATCGCACATCGCCACTACTGTTTCCGATGCCACCCGGCGCGATTACATTAACTTTGCCAATCGTTATTTTCCACAACTTAACCAAAGAGTCATTGCCACCGGTTGCTAACAGATAAGAATGTTTATCGCTAATTATATTTTCGTTCGTTCCTGCAATTGAAAATAACAGGATGAGTAATAATCGTGCCTCGTCACTGGATTGTGGATTTCTGTGTAGAAATTTATCTTTTCCTCGACGAAGAAACAGGGCTTAAATGGAGATTCGTTTTTTGGGCATCGTACTCTCAATGTTTATATATTTTTCCATACTACGTATTTTTCTATGTGAAAATTTAATTTATTTTTGTACTCCTAACCTGTTGACTATGCTCGACGAATATACTTGTCATGAAAAGGAAAAGTGACAAAAAGAGATGAGGAACTTTATTTGGGTTGAAATTTTTATGAAAACTGAAAAAAGAATTTGTAAATTTAAGATGTTTCAGAATATTTTGTAATTAGAAATAAAATGAAAAGAGAAGAAAAAAGAATGAAGAAATTGCACGTAGTAAATTGCAGCATGTAAAATTTCAACTTTTTAAAAAATTTTAAAAATTAAGGTTTTCTTTACTCAGAGTTATAACAATTAAAACTATTGACAATTTTAATTAAATAGTAATTTTACCAATGACTTTTTTTTATCACTGAAATATTTCAATATTTTCGTGAGCCATTATAGTGTAATAATAGTAGTGTAGTGTAATAATATATTAATCTTCGTTTGTGTTTACGCAAAAATAATAGCTGAATTTCACACGTATAATTTCTTGTTAGATGTATATATATATACTTATCTATTGTTATTTTTGAATAAACAATAGACACGTATACATATATCTAGTAAGAAATATTCAAATTGGAATATTCAGTTAAGAATTATTCAAAAATTCAAAAAAATTATTCAAAAATTTCATACAAATTTATAAACATTTATATGGTAAAATTATTAAATTACTTTATCGTAAAATGTTAAACGGTAAAAATAAGAAGAAATATTTCTTCTTAACGTAGTTTCTTAAAATTCAACTCCCCCTTAAAAGATTAATATTAATTCGTGCCTACCGTTAGCTATGAAATTAGACGTCGGACAAAAATCACATCCTTGTACGCCTAAGTCGTGCGCTTCCGCGCAAATAATCAACGCCCCGCAATTTTCTTTATCACTGACGTCGAAAAGTCTCCAAGCACCTTCGTTACATGCCGTAACTAAATAACAGGAGTCATGCGTGAACGCAATCGCGTTTACTGCATCGGAATGACCCCTGAAAACGCTACGACACATGTTTTTCAATAATTTAATAACGCTTTACAATGTGCGTAAAGCGAAAACATACATTTTTGTGATATTTCAAATACTCTTGAATAATATATATGCATATACATACATAAAGTACTATTAACAAAAATCTTAAGCTACCTGTTAAAGAGAAATGTTTTATTTAAATATACGTATAAAGATACTCGATATTAGTTTGAATATTTTGCTAGTTCGAGAGAATTGAACTTCGTTGAATTATTTATTAATAATAAAACGATTCTTGAATTATTAAATATTACATTATAGTTAAATGATTCAAGCAAAATATGAATATAATTAAATAATTCAAGAATGGCATTAACATCATAAAACAATGCATTGATGATACAACGAAAATATTATATAATGATTCTTGGATTATTTAATTTTAATTGATTTTATTGTATGATGTTGATACTATTCTATTTTATAATAGAATTGTGGTATTTAATAATATTTCAATTCTGATTCCCATCAATTTTAAAATTTAAAATGTTGTCATTATTTTAATAATTTTCCTATTATGTTTCTTTTTTTCAAATTTCGTCATTTTTAAATCTTGGATATTTGGAACCCTACACAGAAACATGTTCTAAAATTATGATTCACATTGTGAAATTATGGCCTAAGATAATGTATGTATATACACATATATAAATACATATACATATATATTACATATTGTATATTATATTACACGTTTACGTATATACATATACATATACAGGGTGAGGCACATGGAACCACTTGATGAATAATAATTCGGATAATGAAATACTAACTTTTTTGCGAAAATTGTTTCAGATGAATGTCGAATGGTTTGAAGTAGGCCAACCCTGTAATCTCATACATATTATATGTACGACATTTATATGTATATAAAGAATAACGGACCAAAAATATAAAAAATATAAATTAAAAAAATTATTATAATTATAAGTTAGGAAAATATAAATCCGAGCTAATTTTGACTGATATAGATATATATAAAAAACATGAAACATGTACCAAAGTTCCTCCATATTATTCACATCCCACAATGTCGTCCTTTCATCATCTCCAGCTGTTGCAATTTTAGTACCATCCGGTGACCATCGACAAACGCGAATACCAGATCCCGAATTCACGAAAGAAGATTTCGCTTGAGAACCGTTCTACGTGAAATTAATAACGGAGAATCGATAATATATAGTGAGTGAGTGTTGATTTGCGGTGTTTAACACAAAAGTTCACTTATACACAGGGGTTAGGGATCGAAGGGATATTGAAACTTGTCTTGTGAATTTTTCACAATGCCATGCATTGTGCTTGGTCATTTTAAAAATTGTTGGTTAAAGTGGCTGATTTCATTGATCTTGATATACGTTACTAATGGAACATTGAAACATATATAACTGCTGTTCGGCCTTAGTTTCCAAGTGTAGATGCACGATTTATTAATTAATCGTTTAGGCCATAGAATTGAACTTAGTTTACAGAAGGGAGATTTAGATACTAACTCATTCGTTTATATATCTATTTCGTTGGGCTTTCCTTTCTATCTTCTAAGGCCAAATAAAATAATATAAAATTGGTCTTTAAATCTGTCTGATTTTAGTTTGCAAAAATGATTTATAGTCCCGTCTAATTTTGTTTTCTATTTTAGTTAGTACCAAATAGAATAATATAATCGGTACTTTGTCGAATTTTGTATTTACACTTTAATTATCTATTCTTTTACCCTCTGTTTTCAAGATACATATGTACAAAAGCATTTTTGGATTACATTAGGTTAAGTAATAAATGAATAAAAAAATTACTATAATTCATACAGAAGTTTAGTATAGTATATTCTATAGTATATTTCTATAGTATATTCTATAGTATATTAGTATATAAACAAGCAATATGTACAATGTAATATATCGAAATTTAAATCAGAGTCAAAATCAAATCTGAATAGTTTAACTTTTTTATGTATCTCAGAATTTAATGTATAATTACTTGAAATATTTTCTAGATATATAGCTTATATCAAGAACAATCAGATCAATGTCTTTTTTATACAATTATTAGAGCAATGATAAGTAGACTGCGGATGTTCATACATTTATAAGAATCTTACGTTGAATAAAAAAATGGTTAATTTCAAAAACATATAATAATCATTCAGAATTTAGTGACTGGAACTATGTAAATAATACTTATTAAATAGCAATATAAAGTTTGAAACATGTTTTATCTCTAAAGATTGCGTGTCAAAGATTTTTTTACAAAACTTTAACGCTTAGCCTGTCACAGTAAAAAATTAACACACGATATGAAAATTAAAGTTTATACATAATTATATTAAGAAAAAAAGTTTAAAGTAAAAACAAGTTAGAGAATTATCAACTTGAAAGATATTAATTATAATAATAACAATTTTTGTTTCGTATTGTAATTTGTCAAATTTGATTAAGAATATTTAATCTGTGTTTATATTTCATCTTTCTTTTTTTCTAAACTACTGTCTGCAAAAACATAAACTTGGATGAAAATCCGCAGTTTGGTGATAATTTTTCACATTGCATAATCTGTCTGGTAACATTACCTCGATATCCCAAATGATAACACTTCCGTCTAAGGAGCAAGAGGCAAGCATACGACCACAGGGGCTAAATTCCACGTGATTTATGCTATATTTGTGACCATCCAACGGGCTGTAAGGTTTCTCTTGAAATTTCATGCTAGTCTCGGCATTAGCTTCCTCTTCGATCTCAATGCTCCAAACTCGTATTAGCTTGTCCCTAAGTGTTCGTCGTAATTTATTATTGAACGGAATAATATAATACAGAATGGATCACACAACTGGATCAGAAAATCATGTATCATTTGAAACGATTTAATTTCGTTGAATGATACTTTTTTTCTTTATTAAAAGGTAGAAGAGATAGCTCGACGATTTTTTACGCATCTTGTAGCTAACATAAAATGATCTTTTAGACAAATTTATAAAGCATTCTTGGTTTATCTTGGGCAAGTATCGCGATAGTAGGTTGTTTCGTATCTTCCAAAAAGTTAGAGTGCTAACAGCTTGACCCAGTTGCGTGGTATTTTGTAATAGCTTACATACAGGCTTGGGCATTAGATATGAAAATGATAAAATACTTTATTTGATATTTTCTACTATTTTTTTTTTTCTGGAATAACCTCATAAGATAACGTTATTTTTTTTTTTCTTTTTTTTGTAAAATAAATGTGTAATTTGTAAAATAAAAATAACGAAGTTATTTGAAATTGTCTTTTCATCTTTGTTATAAATAAAATTTGCCCAAGCCTGATACCTTGCTCGGTTGAATGATTTGGAAAAATTAGCCGTAACTAACCCAGATCCAGAAGCGATAAGATGATTCCCGTAGAAAGCTACGCTATTCACTACTCCACCGTGCTCTTCTAATCTTTGAATCAATTGAACGTCATTGACAGATGTCTCTGCGTTTTTCATCACGCTTTCTTCATATTCAGCGCTCTAAAAATAAGAAGAAGCTCTTTTTACCAAGTTCCATACCACTAATTCTAATTTGTTCGATTCGAAGAATGAAAAGTATAGTGATAAACTATCGATCAGTAGTTGAAGGTTGCATTTTGCAATGTCTATGATAAAAGAAATTATAGATTTATCGAAAATGGTATTTACCTCTTCCGGATTGTCTAAAAATAAGGCAGGTGTGAATCTTCGTGTGAGCTCCGAGTCGAGACACAAGTTTCCTTTAAGATCCCAAATAATTACGGATTTATCGTTGGACCCTGAAATATTAACAACGATTGAACAATGAACATAAATCGTGTTGAAATGATTAGTATATTTAATGTACTGAAATACTCATTGGACACTGATAGTAGGATTAGTTGAAAATTTTGCGGCTCGCGAGTCTCTCGAATTTTTTAAGATTACGTTTCAACTATATAATAAATTTAACTCGATTCAAAGTACGTGAAAATAGTATAAAAGGCACTGTTCTAACAAGTATTTCTCTCTTTGTTATTTTTTTCTTAATAGTTGCTTGTATAATTAGAGGGGGGAAAGCTGTATCTCACTGTTGTATAATAATGATTGAGTAAACATTAGTGAAAAGATAATAATAAAAATACTTGTGAATGTGTTGTCCAACCTTGCTTCTAAAAAAAGATACATAAAAATACATAAAAAAAAGATATACATATGCAACATTGCTGAGTCAAAGATCCAGCTACGTGCAAGCTATAAAATTACTCGCTGATCAAAGGTTGATTACCTGTAGCTAATAAATTCCCGTCTCTGGAAAACGCGCAGCAGGCCACGTACCTATTGTGTCCTGCTGTTATCGTTATCACTTTCCCGGAGTCCTAAAAGATGTCAGAGAATGAAAGTTGTTAATATCGTCAGTATACGACGTGTTCTGTTTATCATTAATTTGCTTAATTCGCTAAGGATCGACATTACCTTTATTTAATGTAAGAACGAAATAATTCCCTCGATCAAAAAGTTAAAAATTACATCACTAGTTTAACCGATGATCGTCAATTTTAATCGACGTAATTACCGACTTTTGTAATAGTTTTCACGGAGTAATAGTTTTCACACGTAGATACATGTTTCAGTGATTGAAAAATCAAATTATATCAAGCGCGAGATACTTTTGTGATAAAACGTTATGCATTGCACGTTTCCAATGTATAAAAGAAATAATTTCTTTTCGAAATTGTCAAAAAATTGAGAATTATGTCTACTATTAATTCAACTATGATTCTTGGCTGTACAAGAGATGAAACTATCAAATTCGAATTGTTATCGATAGCGATAGCAATGATACAAGTTTGAGACAAATCGACGTAAAACATGTGCATTACAAAGCGGGATATATATAAGTCTGAGGTAGTGAAAGGGTTAATACTTGGCTAATTTAATCGACGCTTCTACCTTCCTATCAATTTAAACGTTCAGAGATTTTACCACATCCTCTTTCTCTCTTATTTCGTACCGTTTCCCAGATAACTGTTGTTTTGTCGAGGCCGCTGCTAGCGATGAACAATCCGTTTGCATTGAAAGAAACGCAAGTTAAGGCACTGCTGTGCTTCTCCATAATTCTGCACAGGTTTATCTTCACGGTGGATGTCTCGCATTTCGTTTGTATTACGGTCACTTCCCACAGCTTTACGTAATGGTCGTTGCCGCAGGTAACTAGCTGATACAGTTTCGTGAAAGGTTCGTTGCCTGAACATACGAAACAGTTTAGGCAATTAGCAAATTTAGCGGTAAATGTTGCGCAGGCGTTTCTAACTCTTCCTCGGTGGGACGTTTCGAACAAGGATTGTTCTATCCGTAAAAATATAGCTCACGATTCTCGATGATCGTTGAGTGTGAAGAATCATTTCATTATTTCATTTGGAAATTTATTGAAATTGTTTGGACAAGTTTTTTGAGAGTTATTTGTATGGAAAGTACTAGAACTATCGTTGTACAGGATGTTTGCCGATCGATATAATAAGAAAAGGGATGATTCAGTATGAGAAAATAAATCTAAAAGAAGAAATGAAATCTTTTCATTTCAGGATCAGTTTTTCGAGAAAATCGAGTTCGAAAATTTGTTAAATATATTTCAGTTCGATCGATTCTGAATTGTATATTATACAGGATATTATTTTATTATATAAAAGTAAGTAAAAGAAGTGTAATCTAAAAATTTTCTGGAGAACTAAGCATTTTATAGAAAAGTTTCTCTTTACCTTTTTAAATTTATTTTATAGGATAATTTTCTGCCAATTATTCAGTGCGGAATTATCGAAATAAATATGATAAATTTTCAAACTTAATTTTCTCGAAAATGAAGCTTGCAATAAAATAATCTTATGCTTTCTCTTCGACTTAGTTTTGCACCACTGGACCGATAACACCCTATATAAATAACAGATATTTTTACTTATTTAATTAATATTTCAACAATTAAAGTCAATCAAAGTAAGCGTGATGCGTTGTCGTGAAAGTGTTCAAAATATGAGAGGATCTCTTACGTACTTGTAATCTTCTGGCAGGTCGAAAAATCGCAAGATACGACACCCAAATCGTGAGCATCGTCTATCGAGGCGAATACAGTAATTGCTTGACTATCGGTAAAGCACGAGTCGATGATGTTGCTGGTGGCGAATAATTTCATGACGCCGAATGTGCAAGTAGTTATTAACCAACTAGAATCCGGTGAAAAGCACACACTCTGCACGGCACCGTCGTGTTTTTGAAAATATCTGCAAACAGATACACACATACATTACATCGTATTGTCCCTAATGATGGTAATAAATTTTCGAATAAATGCCATAGTATCGCATTCAGTTTTAACCCTTTGCCCTCGACAAACTTTTTTTTTTTTTGTATCATCTACCAGCAATTTATTTACGAAGCTTTCGTCACTTCAAACAAAATGACAGCATTGGAAATAATCATTCAAATGGCATATTTAAGATGTGATATCGTTTAAATTTAAAGCAATCGTCAATATATGTTGCGAGTTTGCTGAAACAGGTATAATATACAAGAGCCAATGACACATAGTTTCAATCTCTGGGAAAAGTAATATTCTCCACCATTTTTTTAAACCTTCAAGCAGTAAGAAGTCTAGTTTACGTGAATTATTCCAACGAGTGTCAATTGACCTAGGATTGTCTACAGAAATTTCTTCTTCTGAAATTCTTTTGTTCTTCTTACGTCTCGTTGTTATAGCTTTCACTCTAGGCGTTCTGTTCAAATATTATACTATTATCTCAGTTCGTTATAATTATCAGTAAATTATAAAAAAAGGAAATCTGAGGTGTTAGAAGGACAGTCGAGTGCAATCATATCGAGTTTAATTCCAGCAATAGTGAAATATATAGTCGAGTAGTATTTCGTACATTGACGAGTGTGACCAACTAAATGGACTCTAAATTTATTGGAGATTTTTACCTAACTAAAGTGCGTCGAATTAAATCCCAAAGGCAAACTTGCCCGTTATCGCCAGCGGTTGCGAGTAACGTCGAGTCTGGCGAAAATCTGCAAACTCTCACCGCTTCTCCGCCCACTTGAACCATCGTATGAATTTTCGATCCCGTCTGTAAAGTCATGCATCTGGTTAAACCATTTACGACAGCGAATCTTCAGTTTAATCATTATAATGTAAATACAAAAGCAAGGATTACAAGATGTTTGGGTGCAGTGAAAATTCTTATTCATATATGTAGGATGTCCCATTTTAATTTATAAGTGCAATTATCTTCGAAACTATTCTAAGACATTTTTTTTTTAAATGACGAATAATTTCGGAGATTTATAGATTAAAATTAGATACACACTCCGTGTGATATGACATGGGCGCAGTGAGAATTTCTTTTTCGTCGTACGACTTACTCGCAAATTCCAAAGTAACGTTGTGCCGTCTATGCTAGCCGAAGCCAGCATCGTCGATTGAGGGCTTACTTTGACAGACGTGACACCGTATTTGTGTCCTTGCAACGGGGAGAAATGTGCTTCTACGTATCCCTCGCCTGAACGCCATTGCCAAACTCTGACACGTTTATCTCTGGAAAGAAGAACGTATAATAATAATAACGTACATAAAGAACGAACCTTACTGCTGTTTTAATGAAAAGTCAAAATGTTCCACAGTTACACTCGCAAATAGCTCGAATACATAAGCATACAAATATAATCCATACAATAGTATTAATAATGAGTATAACGAATTTCTCTTTTACATATACCAATTATAATACAGTTTTATAAAATTACGACGGTTCTCTCCTAACACCGCTTCTCTAAATTCTGTAAATTTTCTTTTATGTCGCAGTGCTCGTGTCTGGACTTAAATTTTTCATTCACAACCACCAACTATGTCTTTTCCATCGAATGTACGTACGTATGTACGTACATAACAAAAATTGTCTGTTTGATGAAAAATTCACGAACGGGCAGTCAAAGTTTAATAGCTATCTTACCCGGATCCAGTCACTAGTACGCAATCGCCGGCAAAATCAATAGTTGTTACGTCACTAGTGTGTGACGTTAGGGTTTGCAGAGTTTGCACGTCTCCTATCGTGGCGGTCATCTTCATGTATAATTTCGTTGTTAATGTCTTTCACACACCTGTAAAATGGCGTACCGTAAGTAAGACAAGTGCAGGATAACAAAAGAAGACTTGTAATTCCTGTATTTCGTTCCTCGCATCTCGCATTACACACATAATGTTATAATATTCAGTTAGCAACAAATTTCACTTACATAGTACGAAGCACATTGTCCCGTTCGTCTTCGTCTGTAACATTACAAAGGCACTTGAAATATTTTTGTATATTAGAAAAATTGAAACTTGCCGCAACACCGACAGCGATAGAAAATTCTCCGGCGATAAAACAGTTGTGGACGTGTCGTGATAAGTAACGCGTGGGGAATACGTGGAGTGTAAAGAAGTGTGGAAAATCAGTGGCCTTGACATTGTCCGATATATGTCGTACGTACGTACATATCGTTTTTATGTACGTGGATTTATTGGATAGGGTGCGCCGGGTATTTGAATTCAGAGATTAATTATTCGCGCTGATGCGTGTAATTGCGAGTAATTCAAACACACATTACGAAGACACACGTGACGATTTTCAAATTTCTTTGATCCTCTTTTGTTTTGGTTGATACGGTACTTACATCAATAAAATGAAAACGTGAAATATCCCAAACATCGATGAAACTCGATGGCAAACGATAAGTTTACAAGTTCGTTGGAACGAAAGATTCGACGGTAACCATGTCGTATGCTTCTTAAAAAAAGAAGATTTATTTCAGTGATGCGTCACATGTTGTCACTTTCAGTTGAGAAACGGAACTCGGTGCAAAGCATCAAGTTGTACGTACGAAGGGTTCCATGCTGTGACGATAAAGCGTCAACGCATGTCTACTGAGGCTGTAAAATCGATATGCACGAGGCATAAACAGCCTAAGGCGGAAACGGGCTCGAATTATTATGTTTCGTACATCGGCAAATTATGTATTTTTATGTTGATGATTGATGTATTCAAACAGGATGTTTGAAAATTGATTGTTTAAATGAAATATTTGACTATTCTTGGATATTCTTTTTAAAGTAGTTGTACGTTGGTTTATTATATAAAAGTGAATGATTCCTTTTTGAAAATTATTTCACCATTTAGAAACAAAATTTTAATATCTTGTACATATTTCGTGAATTGAAAAAAATTCATTATTTGTATGAGATCTTTTTTTATTTTGAGCGAATGATACTAGATTTCCTGAAATATCTAGATAGTTTCTAACTCTAGTTTTTAGAGTGCTTCGCATTACCTCACTCGTACAATCTCACACATACATGATTCAAAGATAATTGAAATTAAAATAATACCTTTTATAAATATCCCAAATATTTTTTTTTATAAATATCCTAAATTTTTGTATTGTACTTACGTTATTTCTTCGATAAACAGCACTCTTGTACGTAATAGTATTATTTTCATAATTTTATATGAAGTAAATGAAGTAGAAATTATAAATAAACATCTACACATGAAAGTGTACTTTTAACAAAATTTATTTGACATTTACTATGTACATACATTTACGTTCACATACAGATGAATGAAAGTTACATTTGCCAATTCTTCATAAAATACAACGTTGAAACATAATCGATATCTCATTATTTATTTAAAATATAGAAGTAATATTATCCAAGAGGCAGGATCGGAACGATTCTTGATGGAATGATTCATTGTTTAGAAAGTTAAGGTCATTTTACTTAACTGATCGTTATTATCGAATTACTTATTATCTTGTTACTTATAGTAGCAGTTTACTTTTCATTACAACTTCATTTTTTACCCTTGTGCTTGAACGGATAATATTTATAATAATAAATTTTTGAACATTTCAAGGTAAAAAAGTTTCGAGATGACGTAGAAAAATTTTTTAATTTGGGTTAGGTTTCAAGACTATCTATACTTCATATACTTAATACTGCGATGAAAAATTCCCTGATTTCCATATAATATAATTACTAGGTTGCTAGTTTTTGTACAGATTCATATTTTGAAGTATGCAATTAAAAAAAAAAAAAAAAAAAAAATAGGACTCTACAGAATAGAAAATTTACTTACGTGCTATTATTTGTATTTTATATATTGTATAAATTATGTGTACAGTATAAATTAATTAATAAGTTAATATTTAATGTTACAGAACTACGTGTTACTTTAAATATTTTATACGTTTTTTTTATATTCTGTCTAGTCTCTGCATTTTTAAATTATCTATTCTGAAATGCATAAAAATCCGTGATCGCACTAAAATTTTGCAATAGATCGACGGATAAAGTAGTTCAGAAAACTAAGGAATCTCCGATATTTCTATACTCGATAGGTATCGACTTTATCATCTCTTTTTATAATTCAGATAATAATAATCTAAAACAACGATGTTCGGGGAATTGAAATCGAGTATAAATTTTTTTTGTATTACTGTGCATTTCTTAGACATATATATATATAATAATTTATTTGTGATACAAATAAATGATGTTTCACAATTCTAATAGTTTTCTTAAGGAAGGAAACTATTTGGAAACTTATGATAAAATTATTATCAACATTAAAATTACTATTAACATATTGACGTTAATAAAGAAAAAAAAGAACAAGAACGAACAGTATTTTTAGAATTTTTCATTAAAAGCGGAAACGTGTCATATTTTTTTGGAAACTTATGATAAAATTATTATCAACATTAAAATTACTATTAACATATTGACGTTAATAAAAAAAAAAAAAGAACAAGAACAGTATTTTTAGAATTTTTCATTAAAAGCGGAAACGTGTCATATTTTTTTCTGCATGTTCATTATATATTTATTGTAAGAATGTACATAACTGAAGTAATGCTCGAACTTTAAATAATAGAGACACTATTATGAGTTCATCTACGTGATCGATTAAACGGAGCTAGTATGTACATGCATTATTATCTATTAAACAGAAAATGACGCGATCATAAATACAATTGATCACGAAAGTATTCGAACGCTTGTAGGAACTCTTTATGATCGTATGAAACATTTTGATATTTCATTAACATTGCAATATAGAGATGACGAGATATTTAAAAGAGATCACAAAAGCATTTAAACAGTCGCGATCTATTTTGTTAATGTATCTCAGCATTCAGTGGAATCATGTCAAAGAGCAAATTCATATTTTTAAGAATACGGATTGGAAAAAGCAGGAGCTCGGTTGAAAATTATTTGACTCGATAAATATTATAGCACTATGTTTCATACATTTTTTTATATCGCGTGCAAGTTTGTATTTTCCTGCGAATGGATTAAAATAAATTTTCACCTATTGACAAATTCTCAAAATGTTTTATACAACGCTCGCGACTAAAAAGAAAGCCAAAAGAAATTTACAGATTGAAAACACAGAGGGAGAAACGCCGTCGTTTTACAAAATTTAATTATAAATCGCTGAATAGGATAAAACACCTTGTTCAAAACGTAGATTTCATGGCGAGCGTTCGAATACTTTCGCGCGCCACTTCGAATATATCCAGATTATCATGTTAAATTAATCATGACCGGTAAAATTTTCGGCACTTTCATATTCGCGCGATACGTTTTCGTACGATCCCGGCAGGGCATTGATATCTATAACCTGATAAAACGCATACACAGTGTCGTACACGTTCCACACGGTCAGCATCAGTAACTCTTTCATTCTGCTCAATTCGCGGTACTTGTTAACCGAAATCAGGCAAGAATGGGTCAGTTGCCGAGGCGGGTACTTCCCGTAAAACTTTTTCACGCAGAGTGGATTAAGATCCAAGTGACGTCTCGACAACGGTTCCTCCGACGAGTACCTTTCGTTGCTTATGTACACTTGGAAGTCGTCTGTGCTATGGACCGCGGTTAGGTACCAGACGACGTCGAACGACAAGTGAGTGGAATTGTAATAACGTACTCGAGGGAAATTGACGCGCGACCACCTGTTTGCACCGTATTCGTCCAGTTCCTTAAAACTCTTGTTATTGCCGCTGGCGATTTTTCCGTCCGGCGGGCTGTACATCTGATTTGGGAAGCCCTTGAATCCCTCCACGCTTTGCGGCTCGTACGCGACCGGTCCACAATTGTTGTTCACCCTCATTTGACAGAGCTTGGCGCGGCTGGTTGGCTCGGAGATGTACCCGTGGTAGTTGGCGATCTGATAAATCGGCACGTGAAGGGTAATGTCGGCCACTTGATAGAACGCGTAGCCCGTTCCAGCTATTTTCAAGGTTGACAGGAGAACTCCCAAGCCGTCAGTTTCATAGTAAATCTCTTGGACGAGCTCGTAACGGAGGTAACAGCGGAATCGAAGAACGCGATCCTCGACGGTCAGACGATCGTTGGATCGTTGATACGAGCAAGCTAAGTTTAACAAGGATCTCTGAATCGATTGGTCATCCGTGTAATTCCCGTTGGACAGAAACACTTGCACTTGGTCAACTACGATCTCGGTTTCGTTATTGAACATCCAGGCAACTTCCGTGGCAAAGTGAGTGGCGTTGTGCTCCTGTACTTTTAAGTAAGAACGACTCCAACGTCCTGGCCGATGCTCGTTCAACACGTCGTACGATGGATTCCCGGCGTTGGCGATTTCTCCATCCTTCGGTCCGTCGTTTAAGAAATCCACCGACCCGATAATCCCACCGACATCGTTGTCGGATTCGAATACGTTGCAGTCGAGATTGGTACCCAGGAAACAGTTGTAAGCTCGGCTCGATGGGTTTGTTACTACAGCGGTGACAGTAGTATAGTTTCCCCCGATTTTCGAACGATCTTGGATCGATGACTTGCTGTTTCCGACAACGTCGAGCGTTGCGTGGACTTGGATTAAATTGAAAATCGCTGGTATCAGCAGGGACGTTAATAACAACATTTTCACACCGCGTTAACAAGTCGTTCAATTCGATTCGAGAACTATTGATCGCCGGTATTTGGAACGCTTTCAGTTATCAGTATCTGGAAACTGAACTGAAGACTGTAAGACACAGGCGAGTATATAAACGTGGAAAAGTTATCTTAT